TTGTGGCTTGGACTTTGGAGAAAAATATGTACTCTAACTTTTCCATGTGTTTGATCAACCATTGTACATGTAGCTTTTGGTTTGTTGTGCATCTCTCGGATATCCCTAGGATACAGAGGAGATGATTTCTTCTGTGAGCAGTAGTCCGAGGAACAAGATGTCAGAGATGCACAGACTGGAGTCCACCACTGACCTCGGCCTTGCCTTGGACAGGGTGCATGAATTCATCCAGCTGATGCAAGGTAGCTTTTCATTTTGTTATTTGTTTGCAGCAAACAGACACGCAGTTGGGGCGTCCTATTCGGGCACAGCTACTGTATATCTCATGAAAAGCCCCAGGCTGCCTGTTGCTCTCAGTCCCAAGCCAATACTGAAGACGTGAATCTTGAATGAAAACCAAGATGGGATTGTAATTGTATAAACTGTGCAGAGAAATGAAATGACGCGCTGGTCTGTCTGTACTCCTGTTAAAGGTGAGAGTGAGAGTGATCCTCACTGGGTGTACTGCAGCATGTTCCTCCTGGCTGGTCTCTGTCACCTCCTGATGTGCCTGGAAAAACTGGATGAAAAGCACTTCCCGAGTGCACAAGAGTACCAGCAGACCCTCAACGTCACCAACCTGCTGGTTCGCAAGGCTGAGATGGTCTTCAGCAGCCATTTGGTCTACTGGTCAGCACTCCGGCCAACACACAGAAACAAAAATATCTGTATAAAGTAGAAATATGACTGATTTGATTTAACTTGAATTTACTTCCTCTCATCCATCCTTCTCCTTGGCCCAGCCCGCCTCCCGTGAAGATAAGGAAGGGGAGGTCAGCGAGCTGCTGGCTGCCTTGGTGGTGTGTGTTCCTGGGCTGGTTCCTGTTGCTGTCCATCAGCGGCGTATCCACTTTCTTCACCCTGTTGTACGGCTTTCAGTACGGGAGAGAAAAATCCACCAAGTGGGTCATGTCTCTGGGCCTCTCCCTCTTCGAGAGCATCTTTATACTGCAGCCTCTCAAGGTGGGGAAAACTCAAACTGTATCAAATGATTCATCTTAAAAAGTAACTTCACTCAGCACACAGTCTAAAAATGCTCCTGCGTGTTAAAGGATAACATGACTACGTTTAAGAAAATGTGCTTTCTTGTGGCTTGTTTTTGTTCACAGGTGATAGGAGTTGCTGTGTTTTTTGCCCTACTGCTGAAACCTGCAGCTGTGGAGGAGACTGAAGAAATTGAGCAGGTGTTGTTAGGTAAGAAAACATCATGCAGCACATCTGTTACCAGAACAGCTTGGCATGTATAGATTCCTAGCCGTAAGTAAGTAAGTGCTGTGCTCAAAAACACGTTTTCCTTTGTCTTTGATATTGCCTGTGTTCATCTGATATGTGCGGTGTTAAATGTAACCAGAATAGTACACTATGTCTTTTCATCATCCTTAAAGCTGGTAAATCAGTATGTTTATATTAATGATGGGTAAAATGAGTGCTGGAAGTAACAAACCAACAATTATCACCCAACTCTGCAGTTATCCCCAGCACTACAGAGTGTTGTAGTGTCTTTGAGTGCATTGCTTTGGTTTTACGGCTCAAACCTTTATTTTTTTGTTGACTCTCAAAGCGTTGTTTTTGGATGAAGCAGACTCTGAAAACCTACGATACACAACCTGCTCAGCACCAAACAGCAGACCTAGCAACTAGCTGGTGAACAAAGTGTAGCATTTAGCTGCTAAAGAGACAGATATTACACTCAAGAGTTGGTGGAGACCAAAAGCAGAGCTAAGTCAGAGTAAATAATGGACTTACATTTGAACAAGTGGCTCCATGTCCGCCAGATGTGTAAAAAGGCAACTGTTTGCTAACACGTTCACCATTCCCAGCTTGTTTCTGCTTTCCCCAAGTGGACAACATTTAAGTAAATGCAGGTTTAAAGACTTTTGAGAATTATTATAATAATAATGAAATAACACTGGAACACTAAGGGGAATAATAACCTGGTTTCAGTACATTTGCTTTGCTTAAAAACCTTATTTCAAGCTTGTAACTTGAAACAAAAACTTTTATAAATAAACATAAAATATCTGTGACAACTGAAGCCCTACAACTGAACAAAAAAAAGGTAGAATGAACAGCCTTTTAGGATACATACATTGTTTATTCTAGCAGACAGAGGTATCCATTCCATGTTGTTTTAGGTTAACTGCAGGGAGCTCTTATGAAATGATGCATATGAACCAGTAAACATATTAGCTTTGACAAAGATAAACCAACCCTTTTAGTTTTCTGCTGCTCCCAAGTGACTTCTCTCTCTCTACAGTGTATCAGTGCATGCTTCCTTCCTTTTAAGAGCAGTAAAGTACTGTGAGTCTTACTGCACTGTCTTCTCCATTTACCAGAACAACAAGACAAGTGTAGACGGTACTCTGGCAGGGACACACTGTGAGGAAGCTGCATTTAGCAGGATGTGTTGCCTTCTCCGATGGGCACAGCTGCGAACCACGGCACCCTCACTGCTTAAACACTCTTTTGCACTTACTGGAAGTTTTAACTTTCTGAATTTACTATCCGTGATGATGTATGTGTATGCAAAGAAAATCTCTGGTTACTTATGTTCATTTCAGGAGGCTGTTATTTTCAACGTCTATGTCTGACCCCAAATCAAACTCACCATCACAGAAATCTACAACACTCTTGTAACTTAACAAAGAAGCTCAACCTGAAGTTCTATGTTCATAATCAGATCAGACCATATATCACCCATACTGTCTCAGACACATACTGCATCTACATGCAGTTATTCTTTTAATAATATCCTACTGTCTCACAATTTGGTCCGTCACCACAAGGGAAACCATTGAACCAATAGCAAGACTTTAGATATAAGATCCATTGCAACCGTCCCTCTTGGACGAACCACTGCACTGTACTTTCACATTTTAACGCCCTGCCGTTTCCAAACTGTTTTTGAAATGCTTTATCTTTTGTACTATTGTTATAGTTTGAGTTATTTTGAGTAAAAATAGTCTGCAATCAATAAAGTGAACATAATCAACAAGCAATGAAATAGAGGCCCTGCTAGATTATTGAATATATAATATAAAACAATCTGTACAGTCTGCAAAGAAAAAAACTATTTACTTTGTTCTTCTTATTAATTTTACTTAAGTTAATGTGGGTTTTAGTCGAGCATTTTATTGTTTCATTGTTATTCTAAACAATATTTCAAAGGCTCATAAAATGGGGAAATACTTTGTATTTTAGCATGAATATCATAAAACCTTACAATGTTAATTATTGGCACAAATTTGTTGCTATTATCTTTGAAATATTGATATCGTTGGAAGACTCCTAACAGCCACAGCCTACTGCTGTCGACATGACTAGTGATCACAGTGTATGACGTCCGACCATCGACTGAACACCAACATGGACTTTCACTTCCGGTAGAGAGGAGTAGAGTTACGTAACATATGGGACATATGGGACCCGATTATCAATTCATGACTTTTTTCATTTCACCTTCATGTCACTTTAATACATGCTGAAGGTCCATGTTACAACTTTTTATCATACATGCAGTCTTCTGTGAGATTCAGTCTGTTCTCACGTTGAATGATTTGTGTAGCAGGTTTGAAGACACTTTGATGTCCTGTCTTAGACCTGTGCTTTTATCTAATCACCGATCGATTTATTGCTTTCATTTATTGATACTGTGTATGTATTGTATGTGTGAACTTAAATAAACAGATCTATATTATCTAATATCCTAATGTATTTAATTCTATAGTGACTTTTAACTGAAAGAGCTTCAGACATTCAGTAGCTGATAAGTCTGTAAACCTGACTGCCGAAACTAAAACCAATTATTATGCCTCACTGACACTATTATATCAAAGGATGTAAGTAGTATGTATGTATATATATATATAAACACACACACACACACACACACACATTTTTCATCACAACTTTCCAGTAGAGTACCTCGACCCACATTAATGCTACAGTGATTGGCTGATTCAAGGGATTAGGTTACTTTGTCAATACTGCTGTACTGTATATTCTTTACTGATGGTGAACAGTTTTTCAGTTTATTGTGTGATGTTTAAACGGAGCCTGGAGTAACCACACAATGATACAATATGAGGAAAAGATAAACCTAAATCTCTTAGTGTCACGGGGTCACACATATGTGACATTGTGATGAACACATACCTAAACTACTGATAAAAAAAAGTTTACTTTATATCAAACATCTTTGATAACATCTAGCTTTTGTTGCTGTGTAGACTAAATGCACTTATGGTAATGCACTTAGAGTCCGACAAAATGTCTGTTAAATGCACATCATGTAAACAAATCAGATTTGTTTATTCAACAAAGCACAATTGACCTTTCTAGCTGAAAATGTCCTGCTCATTCACACAGAAAGCACTTCACTCTTCAGCAAACACTGGACTTAGAGTATTTAAACCAAAACACTGTAAAATGGACTTAATGTACTTAATGAAGAGAAGAGTCCACAAAGAGGTCACATAGACTCCCGCAGATTGCAGTCTCTCTCTTCAGCCGCTTATGCTAGTGGATATTACACAAGATGTGTCACATTTTGCAACATGCAATGAGCTCTACAAACTCAACAGAACAGAAGATCTATCTAACCTTTATTTCTGATAAATTGTCAAAAAGGATAAAATAGTCTGAATGTTGCCACGATTGACCACCGCAGTTGCCCTTACTTGTTTGAGTTTATCCTCACACATTTAGAGGTGAAAACGTATGTCAATACAATGCAGGATTAATAAAAGTGGAAAAAACTAAAACGATAAAATAAGCAACTTAATCTACGAATAAAAGTTGGTTGTAGGTCAGTGCTATTCCGAGTATATTTCTCTACAGGAATATTTATTTCCCTTTACACTGAGGACCCTTGCTGGTCAACGATAGACACTACATCAATGTAAAGCAGAGAAAGTGTTGTGAACAATAACAGCAAATAGTGAAGAAAAAAACCTTACCAGTTTCAAGTTCCAAATACTCTTTTATTAAATTGATATTTTAGTATAGAGTGGAAAAAAACTTTTTTTTTGCAACAAGACACAATTTTGTGTCTCAATGTTTAGCATGAAAGAACAGTCTATCATAGAAAAGACAGTGAGCAGATCACAGTTCTTTAGTGTTAATATTCTCTATTTTGTCCAACCTATCAATAACCTAAACCCATCAACCGGCTAGACAGCCTTTGAATCGGCTTTCCAGAGATCGCTGAATCATTGCATTCAAGTCCACCGCCCATTTGCCATGCAAGCAGAGCTGGGTGTGGTTAGGTTGCGGCGACACGTCACGTCTGTAAGACAACAAAAACCCTCCGACTCCCTTTTCTCCACAGGAAATAAAAACAAACTATATTGCCAGTACAGGAGTTTCATCCAATCTACAAATTTCACCGCAACAGGTTTTGAGAGAGTTGTTTATGTGCAAAGCAAAGTGTAATAAGACCCACACAGATAACATGTATCCGGTCTGGATGGAAAACAAACACATAATCCTAGTACAGACTGGCAAGGCCTCTGATGAGAAGAGGTAACTAAGGCAAATGTAGTGGTGCACATACAGTATAAGAGACATGCACACATGATCACAGAGGACAACACAAACCAACCACCTCTGACGTCACTATTTACATCTAATCAATCAAATCAGGGTGTGTGGCTGCTCGTGTGTGTGCACACATCGGCTTGTAATTTAAGTACTTTAATGTTAAGAAGGTGCAGACATTTGGCAAGACTGACATTCAAAAGGGAAGAATATAATTTTTATTAAAAAAAAAATATTTGTCAAATATTGAAGAACTCCCTACTTCCAAACTTATTTTCCAGTACAGTTCAATTATTTGCAAATATGTCTATATCATTGTAAATGGTAAGGTTTTCATACACTGTTTTATCGCTTTATATCTGTGCCCCACCACCCCTGTAACAGGTCTGACATGCGTCACCGTGGGCTTTTCCAGGAGGGCTCCTACAGTACACATTGTTTCTGATATAGATAAGCCTTGAAGTGTAAGGAGTGTTTAAAAACGTCCTTCCTACTCGAACAAAACTGCATGACCGAGCGAGACACTGAAAATATAGCGTCAATCTGTCCTCATACCTTTATGTAAAAATTAAATAAATTGCAGGTGTTGGGGAAATCTCTGGCCTCTGTTAGTGTGAAAGCCAGCTCCCCATCAAACTGGGCCGGCCAGTCTGGCTTGTTTGACTCGTCTCAGACTGACCCTTGTCACTCAGTGCAAAGCAAAGCATGTGGAAAGTAGAATTAAGGCTTGTACTGTAAATATTCACCCCCACCCCCCCTCCATAAAAAACGCAGGGAGAAGCAACAATTAAAATCTAAGTTACATAGACAAACTGGAAAAGATAAAAGTCAGTGTGACCTTAAAGAGGAGTGAACAGGAGGCAAAACCCACATGATTGTATGTAAGAAATGAAAACATATGGAACTCACTGGTACCGCCAATAGAAATGAGATTTCTGCTAACTGCCAAGGTCATGTTTATATAAATGAGGTAAGAATGCATACATGTATGTTTAATATCTATGTAAGATTACTTCACCGTGGAAGGGAGAGCTATCTGAATCATTTCCAGTTCTGAACTGCGTAGATGACAGCACATGCCTGTGTGTGTGTGTATGTGTGCGTGTGCATGTGTAAAGACCAGAGATAAAGCAATTAGGTCTTCTTCTTCAGCTCCTCAAACCGCCGCGTTAGGTCGTCAAAGTCGATGTCATCTGAGGTGGTGGCGTTTCTGCCGAAGGAGTTTGTGGGGAGTGTGTCGGGAACAGAGGGGAGTTCTGGGAGAGCGTTGTTGTCAAATAGCTGAGATGAAGGGCCAGGACCTGAGAATATTAGATGGTATTGAATTTAATTTATGCAACAGTATATCCGGCAGTTTATACAACAGGAAAAGCATGCACTGTGTGCACTGGCAAAATGTAAACAGCACATAATGGCAGGTCAGAAAGAAACGCTAGTTAACAGAAAAATTAAATATGGGAATGAACAAATGCTGTTTTAAAACCTGAGGGATGATTTCAATAATGTGATGTTAAATATAATTCATGGATAAATCTGGTGATATCCTATACTATTTTCTATTAAAATCATATGAAAACACCAAAACAGACAATGAATGTAACCTAAGTATTACAAAGCCTAATAGCGTATTCCTGTCTGTCACGGTCTAACATCGTTGCCCAAAAATCAACACACACCCCGTCCTGCTGCAGTAAATCACCACAGCACCAAATCTTCTTATATCATTCTAACAATAAGACTATATGTAGCTCCGTTATTAACATCACCAGAGGGAATAAATGGAATTAAGGTTGAAGGTTTTTTTGGGGGATTTGTTGAAAGTAACAAAAATATAGAATAAAAACAAAAATGAACTGTTGGTGATCGTTGGCAGAACTCACCTACGGCCTGGGAAGGAACAGAAGGTTTGTCAGTTAGGTCATCAATCTGAAACACAGAGAAAATGTGTAATGTGTCATGTCGTCTTCATATTGAAATAAAATGATATTATGTGTTTTAGTGTTGAGAAAGCATTAACAATTATGTTAAGTGCAAAAGTAAAAACAAATAAATTAAAAAGGGAAAACTACAGGGGATTTTTGAGAAAGCGTCACCTTTAGTGTGTGACAGAAAAACAGACTTGAGGATTTAGCTAGTCTCAGCCCTCTCTAAAATACACTTAATACTAATCTGCCCCAGTCAGCGCAAATGATCAAGTCAAGACAGGCAAAACCGCAAGCGAGCTAAATGAACTGCTCTTCCCTGAATGATGCCCTGCCCTGTCCATCTGTGGGAACGGGTAGGGGGCATGGATGGGAAGGGTTCAGTCACTTACAGACTCGTATGTGGGGGGACAAGAGGGCAGCTGAGGGGGCTGCCCTCCTCCCATGGGGTGCTGGAAGTTGTTGTAGGTTCCAGTGGGATTGTCAAACTGTCCCTGGAGGAAAACAACAGTCAGGTATTAGTCCGAGGGAGGCAGCAGACTACGGCTACTTTATAATTCTCATTTACTTCAAGCCATCCAAAGAAAGGATAACAAAGAACATTTTTTTCGAACCATACATCGTATTTGGGTGCAATGATTGCTGGTAAAACTACATCTTTCTAACATCGCCACACAGTCATATCATCACAATGACCGACTTCAAAAGTTAAAAAAATGGGCCAAAATGTTACGTTTACTTCAGAATAAAATGGACCATATTTTGTTAAACGGTATGTTAATTCAAATCACAAAACAAGTAATCACTGAAGATAATCCACAGACCTCTTTGCGGGGAGCTTTAGAAGGAAAAAATACAAAAAACTGTACACAGTGGACTACTTTGAGTCACATGGACATTGTTTATGAAAAAACGTGTTGAGCTTTTCAGAGGCAAATGCACTCCATGTTTGGTTGAAAGGACGATATAGACTGTGGTTGAAGATTTCATCCAAGTCGCCAATTCCTACTCCGCAAGTTTTGTATCACCAAATGCATAACTCACAACAAAATCATAAAGAATATGGTCTGTAAAAAGAATCTCTTACAGGTCCTTTAGGAGTTGGATAGTTGAAAGCTGTTGGCATAGGCATGGGCATGGGCATACCCATGGGCATAGCACCAGGAGGAGCAGTGAAACCACCAGGAGGAGCGAAACCACCAGGAGGAGCAGTGAAACCACCACCACCACCACCACCACCACCTCCTCCTCCTCCTCCTCCTCCTCCTCCTCCTCCTCCTCCAAACTTCTTGTCAGTGTCCACGTCAATCAGGTCTGCCTCCTCTCCAAGACACACCTCGGGCTGTCCGGAGACAGGGGTGGATGAGCAAGTAAATAAACACAATGCATGATTTCATCCTTCATAGTGAGTGATGACAGATTCTTTAATGCTCACCCGGACCATGGCGTCAGGTTCATACGGCACATTATAGTTCTTGGCGATCTCTATCAGGTAGCGCTCGACCAAGATCTTGGGAGGGGCCTCCACACCCAGTTTGTGCATCAGCTATAAAACATATCATATTTGATTAGATGCCGCTAAAAGGTTTCTAGGCTAAAGGTGCATGCATTCTTGAACAGACTTGTGGGCAAGTCAGTGGAAATAATTGCCTACCCTATCGTTGACTGTGCCAATCTGGTTTGTCCTGCACAGCTTGCCGTACTCCTTGCTATATTTGGCACATAGCTGCTCAGACACCTGATAGAAGCATTTAGAGATAAAACTGTCAAGGCTGGCAGAAGAGGAATAAATTGACAGGACTTTTTAAATATTGTTTGCAATGCTCCCAGCGCCATGTTACATCTAGACAGTACTTACAGTTCTTAGTTCAGACACCTCTGCCTGGAGACGAGGCGCTGCCCAGATGAGGGTGGACACTGCCTCCTGTAAGCCTGGGTCCAGTTCCCTAATTGGTAAAACAGAAAAGGGGTTAAAAGAAAAGGCCAAAATGACCGCCAGAGACAAAGTTAATAAAGTGAAACCCACACATTCCCCATAGTCACTTAACGTACACTTTACATCAGTATGTTCAATTGTTGTTGACTAGTTACTCACTTCATAGACTGGATGAGGCCAAAGCGAGTCAGCAGCAGGTCACAGTAGAGCTCCAGGATCTCCATGGCTTCCACCATATAGTCTTCTCTGATAATGTGCTCCACACGGATCCGAGCCCGCTCATCCTTTCCTGATGACAGGTAATCTGCGATCTCCTTCCTTGCCTTTTGAGCAAGCTCAGCTTCATTTTAAATGTGTCAATGAGGAGAGTGGGAAACGGTAAACTATCATTACTTTGAGGAACAGACAAATGAACCAGAACCCACCGAGTCCACTAGGGGAATAGGACCAGGGTTTTTTAATTCAGTCTTGGACTTACTTTTCTTTTTCTCAAGGAGTTTGAGTCGATTAATGACCAGCCTTAGGTTGACTCTTAACCTCTCCGCTTTGAATCGTCCGCCCAGCATGATGACAGACTACCTATGAACAGGAGAGCATGAGAGGAACACACACCACACGGAAGGACAAACCATCCTACAGAGTTCATTTAACCTCAACCTCCTCACCTCTGATCAAGTGACTCACTTAATCATGTGAGCATTACCAACCCCTCGCGACAGAATGACTCCGCAGATTTAACTACTCCAAACAAATACAACACACACGAGAACATTAAGCTAGCGTGCTAACAAAACCTACGTAGTAATCAACAGACGTTTAACTGTTCAAAACAGTTAGCTTTAGCTTGACGCAACGGACACCGAAAGTGGCTAAGTTACGCCACGCTATTTTAGACTTTATCATCTTATCCATTTGATTTCTCAGATATTCGTCTATTTACTCAACCACACTATGATATACCCGTTTAGAAACACACCCTTGGGTCTATGTTGCTAAACCTGTCTTTTCGCTAGCCTTTGCTTTGTTAGCAGTCTGTTCTGTACTAGCTAACGTCACCTAGCTCCCGCTCAACGCTAGCAAAAACAAAACAAACTGATCAAACGCACAGAAGTAGTTTGGAGAATGAGACACGTTTAAAGCAAACAACAGTTGGTGTAGATGCCACAACTTACCTGGAAATATTTGTCAAGCGTACACACCAACTTATTTGGGTTACTGTCAGGTTTCGTCGCCCGGTTTACTTCCGTAATGATCTGTAGTGACGTCATGGGAGTAATATCTGGAGGGGGCGGGGTCTTCATACTCAACCACAGGTTGACCCAAGTACAGTGAAGTACTATTCATTGCTACAATGTTTAAGCAGTACTACTTAAAACTTAAGGTACTTCTTTTTCTTTTTACGGCATCATATTTCAGAGAGAAGTATTCCCTTTTTTATCGCACAAGGTGGCTATCCTACATGGAAAAATATAATGTAGTTTTCCTTTATATTTCTGGGTGCTACTTCTATTCAGTTTCTTCTACTTTGTTTATATTCTAACTAAAATATTTGAATGTGAGTTTTTTTACATTCATGCTACATATTTTTGTGTTTTGTTACTTTAAAAATCTACGAAATATACTTCACATTTCAGAGGGAAATATTGTGCCTTTTATTCCACTTAATTTATTCAACAGCCTCAGTTACTGGATACTTGACAAAGACTTTACGTACAAAACATATAATCAGCCGCGGAAATGTGGTGGATAAAAGGAACAGTATAAAGTCAACTCCACCTCGACTAGCTATAACAACTGTTTACATGTTTATTACCCTGTAATAATAATCCAATAATATATCTTTAAAAATATGTAACTCAGAGAGGGTCTGCATAGTTCATTATTTACTTTTGATACTTTCACCACTAATGCTTCTTTACTTATACTTAGGGACAACTCTGACCACAGGACTTGTAATACTTTTTTTTTTTTTTTACAGTGAAATTACTTTTACTTTATGTTAAGTATCCAAATAATCTCCCATCAAAAGGTAGTTAGTTTTTGCCGGCAACATTAGACATTGAAATAAACTATTCTTTACAATGTCTGCTTTTCATTCTTATACTTAAATATGGTACAATTTGATAATCTTAGTTTGACTGAGGCAGGGAAGACTATTAGGAGAGTATTACTGCCTTCGGTTAGTTGTTCATGCCTTTACTTTTGAGATGCAACAACATATACCATCTCTCACCGTGTGATGTCATACTTGTACCAGATTAATGTGTTCTTTGATGTTCGGTGGCTTCAATTAACAGCCACTAAAAAGGGCTGATCTAGAGCAGCCTAATACACACCTAGACTGTTACTGTTACGGCGAGACGTTTGAGGATGCTTTAGGTTTTTGCCAATAATGCGCTCACAGACAATATATACATGTAGGCCTACATATACCGTGTGATTATTTGTAATGTATGTGTATATTTAAAATTTTCTGAGCAAAAAAAATAAAAAATACCACGAGTGAACAATCTTCTTCACACAGGCTCTGTACATTCATCTTTCCACAAAGTAAAGTGCTCCAATATTTTCATGTGAATGAACATTTATTATTAGTCGAAAATGCTTTACTCATTGCCAAACACACACAATTGTGCTCTCCATTTATGTTAATGAAAATGGAAACATTTAACAAGGACTTTCAGATTTAATATATTTCAGCTTTCTCATAAAAAAAAAAAAAAAAAAATCTGTACAATAAAACGTTGATCTTCCACAACAAACCATCACAGCTGTTATAACTTGAGTTTGCTAACAGAAACCTCTTTGTGTTTCTTCTTCTTTGAAGTCTGGTCCTTTGCACTTTTGATCTGACTCTTAACCTGGTCCTGCAGCTCAGAGAAGAAGGCTTGAGAGGACCGCAGAGCCTTGTCCTTCCCCTCGTCCTGAAACAGAAGAACACCATGTTTATCGATTCACCTCAGGAACATACAGTTTTATTCATTAGCTAAGAATTTTTGATACGTTTTAATGTTGTCGCTGGTCAAGAGGCAGTTCATTTGAATTATTTTCTATACTTCTGGGTAGATTATCTGTAACAGTGCATCATATTTTATATTGTTCATAAGTTTTGGGTGTAAAATCGTAGTAATAAAGTAACTAGAGACTATCAAATGAGGTGGAGTAAAAAGTACAATATTTCCTCTAATGTAGAGAATTAGCATAAAATCAGAATGCTGAAATGAAGTACAAGTACCTCAAAAGCGCTAAATGGATACTGACTACATGAGAGAAGCCACTCACCTTGAGTATCCTGGCTTTGCCTCCTTTTGTGAGTTTCTTCAGGCTTTCTGTGACTTCGGCCTTTGACAGCTTTCTGTTCTCCCCAGTTCCACCAGCCTCTTTAAGTTTCTGCCTCTTTTCTTTGTCCTTGATCTTTAGACGCTTAACCGTCTTCTTGTGGCGTCTGTCGCGCTTCTTGTCTGTTGACGTCTTCTCAGTATCACCCAGAATGTCTCCGGCTTTGTTCTTCTCCTGTGGTTAGAACAGAGCATTGTTAAAACACGCTGTGTAACTACATATACCAATATTAAAATGAATGTTTGAAAATTAATTGATGAAATTAATTGATGACGTACTTTGATTTCTTCTGGTGCGAGCAGCGTAGCATCACTAGCGCTGACTGGAGCCACCTCCTCCATTGTGACAGACGGCAGGTTAGACACCACTTTGACCTCGGGAACGGGCTGTGGACAAAGAGCAACATGAATGCAGGGTTTCAAACACTGCACTGGCTTTCTGTTTTGGTCAAAATAATCCGTTTACATTTACTATTTATTATTTATTAGGGATGCATCGATATGGGGCCGATACTGACTGAGGATTGGTGACAAGGAGGTTGATCTATACAATGGAATTCTATGTTTACATACTATACACATTTTATATTGGAATTAAAAATGTGTAAATTTTGACCAATTTATCGCTAAATTAAAAACTAGCGCTAGTGAATCGTAATTCCAGCTGAGATTTGAAGATTTTTTACCAATTTGCTGGTGTGCGATTTTTTATTTTAATAATAACAATTCAGTAAGTTTATATCTTTGTATTTATTTGTTACATTTAGTTTTACAAAGTTAAGAAAACAATGTTTAACTCAAGCCAGATGTTGCCTTAGCCATAAGAGAAAGATCTCAGTCACTTCCACCTGGTGAGGCATTCAGCTGATTAATGAAACTATCGGATTAGTACTGGGTGTAGGCCGGTACCCAAAATCCAGGTATTGAGACTGAAAAAGTGGGATCGGTGCATCCCTTCAATTCATTTCTATTACATTTTATGCATTGGCACTATTTACAAACCACAAGTTTTTTAAGGGGATGGCATGTTAGATATATATATATAGATATATAGATATATAGATATATAGATATATATAGATATATATAGATATATATAGATATATAGATATAGATATATATAGATATAGATATAGATATATAGATATATATATATATAGATATAGATATAGATATATATATATATATATATATAGATATAGATATAGATATATATATATATAGATATAGATATAGATATAGATAGATAGATAGATAGATAGATAGAGATATAGAGATATAGAGATAGAGATAGAGAGATAGATAGATAGATAGATAGAGATATATAGATATATAGATATATAGATATATATATATAAACAGAAGATGTCACAAGCCAGAGTTAGATCTAGGGTAAAAATCCTACACATTAGGTTTTTGCTAAATAAGGTTGTGATTTCTTTCTGTGACACTTTAACAACTTTCAGAAGCCTTCTGAAGGACAGTCAAACTCAATATTTTAGGAATTTAAGGGCAAAACTTACTGGTTTGGGTGTGAAGTGGAAGTTGGAGAGAGCGTCCAACTTCAGGAAGAGTGTGTCCATAAGCTTTTGAATTTCTACATGAGCTGGGTTTTCCTCCTCCTCTGTCTTTTGCTGAAATCAGAAAAATAGAGAGAAATGATGCAGCACAGGTTCATATGTGTTGGAACAGCAGTGAAAACAAGATAAAAGTCAAACCTGATTCTGCTTGAGGTATTCCTGCTCATAGATCTCTGCTAGACTCTGCTTGCTCTTCTCATGGTCCAACGTTAGCCTCTTCTTGTACTCAAACACCTCCTCTTTGGGTTTCTCCTTGCGGACCACATCATCAAACGCCTTACAGAAACACAAGTCAAAGGCACTGGGTTATAATCCATTATTAAATTTGTTTCAGATACAAAATAATATATAAAAGACAAGTTATGGTGACTAACCTGGTCTTTAATTCTCTGTTTGATGATGTCTTCAAGCTGTAGTGTGGTTTCCTCTGTGATACCAGGGGCTACAAGACCAAAGATAAAAGCTTGTTATCTGATTTGAAGAAGTACACAGAAATAAATCCTCCCTATTTTAATAACCTTAATTCAGCAACATAACCGTGTGAATAATTGTATAAATCGGCCAACATGAGAATGCAACTCACAAAAGAAGAAGAGTCACTCACCCATCCTGCCTGTCTGCTCAAACTCCACATCTTCCTCCAGCATGCTGTTTTCTGGACGAGTCTGTGCGGTAACCTCTCCTGACAACTGCCACGGCTTCGCTGCTAGAGACGCTTTCTCCAACTCGTCTATCTTCTCTGACATCTGCAGGTTAGAGAAACAAAAAGGATGTAATAACCGCCATTCGCGAGCATTCACACCGACATCAACCCTGCACTAAAACAACGTAAGGGGTTGCGTTGGGGGCATGAAACACTATCCAGGAAGTCCAGTTTGAGGAACAGATCTATGAATTTAAAGGATTCTCGGGCCCTTTCAGACATGCACCCCTTTAATGTGATGGCAATTGACCATGTAGTCTTGTCTGAGGAAGGGTCCTGGTCACTTTATGTAAGAAAGAAAGAGAGTGAGAGAGAAATATGCATCTTGCAACCTCTAATTCATTTCATCAATATATCGTTCGGGGCAAACAATATCCACCGGGAATGTACACATACACATTTGATTGGGCAAAATTGGGAAATTGAGCCCGATTCAACTTTTTAGCTTGATGACCGGTTTGCCAGAGCCATCTCTACCACTGCTGTGTCGCTGGACTGGGCTCGTTTAAATAAATGAGAGGGCTGCACTTTATCACAGAGACCTAAGGTCGGTCTGAACACAGCCCTGGTCGAATATATGTTTATATGTGGGACTGGAGAGAAACGTCTTTTCAACTCCTCTGTATGTTCAGTACATATTGTGGAATTGACAATAAAGCAAACTTTGAACTTTGAAGGTTGACTGGTTTACACCGATTAAGCAGCTAAAGCTGGATATCAAACTTCAATGCTTTTCAGGTACCAACAGAAATGTTTTTTTTAATCGGAAAAAAAGTCAAGAGCCGACATTTGTCATCAAATGTCTGATCAGATTCTTAGTCGTCTTCCTCTCATCGTTTGATAATTATTTCCTGATTGAAGCATTAATTCTACATTTAGTTTTAGTTCTTCTGTGGCTGCTTCTTGTTAAGAGAACTTTGGCTTATTTTCCTGAACAGAAAAAGGAGGTTTGTAGAAAAACTTTTGTATGTTGCTCACTGTATTGTTTGGGTGTTGAAATCTTTTTTTGGCACAATGGCCAGGCCTACAAGCAGCACGGTTGCAGTGATGAATTTATGGTCTATGGTCTTGCGCCACACTGACTAGCAACTCAAAGTGGCAAAATTTGAAACCTGATTACCTTTTCTTGTCGTTTTTCAAATGATGACTTTGATTCAGATTTTGCAGAGCTTGGAGCTTTTCCTCCAAAGATGTCCACCACGTCCTCTCCCTCGCTGTCCTCGTCCTCAGAGAGGTTAAAGGTGACTTTCTTTTGAGATGTTTGGGTCTCTTCATCCCTGGCAAAGGGTAGACACAAACATGCTGGAATCAACCACACATGCTTCTCTCACACATAATTATACGTATTACATAATTTCAATCACACTTACTCATCGTCACCCTCCTCTTCACCATCATAATCATCAGCCTCGTCATACTTTTCTTCTCCACCTTCTTCCCGGCTTCTATCCATGCGGTCATCCTCGCCATCTGACTGGTCGTCTTTAGCCGGTTCACCAGCCACAGCATCAAAGAAGTCCTTGTACTTGAGATTCCTTGAGCTCTTTACCTAGAATGTAAACAGTAATACATGTGTTTTCTGTATTCTGTACCATCAGGACATAATAGAATCTGTGAGAAAAGTGATAAAACACATACAGTGATTTTCTTTTTCTTTTGGGTGGAAAGTATTTCCTCCAAGTCGAGATCGTCGTCTTCCTCGGAGGGCAGGTCCTGAAAATAGTCAAGCTCATTTTCGTTCTTGTCCGCCTTTCCTTCTCGCTTGTCCATAACATCCAGAAACGACTCCATCTCCGACAGTTTGAAGAATGCATCATCGACCTCAGAGGGAACCACCTTTGTGGCGGAGCCTTTCCTTCCAATCTCCTTCTTCTGTTTCTCTCGTTTCTCCAGAGCGTCCACATCAAAATCTAAATCGGAGTCTTCATCAGTGTAGCCGTCTGCCCCATCCTCAGCATCAGCAGCCATTTTCTTAGACTGTCTGGGTGGTTCCTCCTCTTCTTCATCATCATCATCATCATCCGTCTCTACTTCTGCCTCCTCCTCCTCCTCTACCAGCACCGTTAATGTCTCATCTGACATAGCCTCATCGGATGCATTTTTAAAGTGTTTCATTACAGCGTTGTTCTGTAGCTCCAGCTCCTGCCAGATCTGCTCTTCATCAAAGTTTTCCACCACCAGCTGAGCCAACGGGCTGCCTTTATAATCTGCAGGCTCTTCAGCTTTGTGCAGGTCATACAGGATCTTAGTGATAGAGGTAAAGTCTTCTGCCACGCCATCTTGGAGGCTGAAAGAGTGGAAACACACAGTCAGTATGGCACGTCTGGTGTATTATTAGAAGCAATAGGGTGTTTTTTATTTGTATTTGTCCAAAAGACAGGAAGTCTGATGAGTGCACTGTCAATGATAGAGTTTGTACTCAACATAATATAATACATTCATCTCTGACACTGTTAACATTTGAATTATGTAGTTATTATTTAGTGGTATGTCCTTCTTTTTAAAATAACAATTTGGTATTTTAAGATTTCTTTAAGCGTGTTTCAGGGTTTTTGCCGCAATAGTTTATTACTTCTAACATCATAAAAATGAATACACTGTATAATACCATTGTATGAATGTTAAATAAAAGACTGCAGGTGCTAATTTACACAGCATTTTTTATATATATATGTATGTTGACTTTTAGACCAGAAGTAATCTACTAATTACTTTGATTGAGAGACAAGACGCATCAGAATCTGAGGTTTACCAACAATTCATACAGACCAACGACATCTGTTTGTGTATTCAAGAGTCTCACCCTACATTGGACCGCTAAATCCTGTGACACTGGATAAACATCAAATGTAGAGAATACATTCAGATGATGACGTTACGTTCTGTTCCTCTTTGATACAAATGTTATAGCAGCTGGTTGTTTTGCAATAGATCGTGTATCACAATCACGTGCAGCATTTGATTGTACTGTACCGATTGTTTCTTTGGATGCTGTATAAATACATTTGCCATGCACTTATCGAAATAAAACTGTGTTAATGTAGTAGGGTCAGCTGTCCACTTTAGTCTAATATATCAATTAAATCTTGTTTGAATTGTAGTAAACTACCAGTCTATATGCAGGCTAGTTGTTGATAAAGAATAATTAGAATTAGAATAATTTGGTACCAACTTTTCTACTATCCTCCCAAAGCCCCCTGAAGTATCAAAGCGGGTTAGCAGTCCATGCAGTTAGCTTTAGCTAACGGTTAGCTAGTTCCGACTCTTCTCCTCAAACATGCGTAAACAACATTTAACCGCTTTTTCAACAACACAAACACACAGACAGCAAACACTTGCCTCAGAAAGTTCTCTGGTTGTGCTGCGGTGCTATTTATTGTCTTTACACACTCCTCCAGCACACTCAACATATCTCCACTGGCCATCGTTTCTCCCACATGCGTAGCCATCTGTGCCGCAGGTAAACAGGCTCACCCAGAAACTCGTCCGCTGCTGCTTTTGGTTCCGACATACAAACATGGCGTCCGCTGTACTGAAGGTTGCAGGTTGGTATAAATCATCATTTTAAAACCAAACGCATACTTTCACCAGTTATTGGTTCGTCCTCAAATGATTTATTGTTAAACCTAAAAACAAGACGACAACATCAGCTGTGTCACACAAAGTTACTGTCCCTATTTACGTTACATCATGTGTTTGTCTTGTTGCAATGTTCGGGTAACGTTACATGACACTTTTTTGTGTTTTTTGTAAAACGACTGTATTACTTATATCTGAATACATGCTAAGATAACTTTCGTACAGACTCTTATATTCACCAATCTACAAACGGTTTTTTTCAAGTCAGGTTTGAAATGGTAGAGCTGAACTCTCTGAGACCCTAAAACTTAACATTTGACAAATGTCACAGCTGTTCGCTGTAATATTGCATAAGCTTTACTCCCTAATAGGGTGTTTGAATTGTGTTATAAACTACTGTATGTGTATCAATCATCAAACGCATGCTATGCTCAAAACCACAGACCTTTATTTTGAAATCTAGTGGAGATGCCAAAGATACACAATGCCAGGCTGAATTTTGGGAAAGGTGTGAAATTATGCATAATACATCTAGAATATTTTTATGTGATGGAATGGTGCAGCCATATAAATATGTCTCGGGTTTACTCTGAAAAATAGCCTACTGTCAGACAGTGTGGACTAAGACTAAGAGAGTTTTAGGACTATTGTTCCAAAACAATAGCCACAACTAATCTCATTATATTTGAATGTGTTTATTCAGTGGCAGGTCTTTCCAGATGTTCTCGTCTCACACTCCTGAGGACACGTTCAACAAAAGCACCCCTCCATCAGGGCCTTCCTGTGTCACTCTGGAAGCTTGGGAGGCTGAACCACATTGCCATCGCTGTCCCTGACATGGAGAAGGCCACGGCTCTGTATCGGGACGTGCTGGGGGCCACAGTGAGTGACCGGGTGCCCGTGCCCGAGCACGGCGTCTACACAGTGTTTGTGGAGCTCGGCAACACTAAGCTGGAGCTGCTCCATCCTCTGGGGGAGAAGAGCCCGATCGCTGGCTTCTTACAGAAGAACAAGTCTGGAGGGATGCACCACATTTGTATTGAGGTGAGACAGCATTGATAACTTGTCATAGGGACTACACTCAGTGGACACTTCATCAGGTACATGTGATCAGTATTATGTAGGACTCTAACTCTCCCTCAGTTAAGCTTGAGTAGAACTTTCTCACTGCAAACATTATCTGTCATAGCAGAAGAAGCACAGGCACAACTAACAACACAGATCCGTTCCCTTTATGTGTGCAAGTGAGCCAGCATGCTCAGCAGGCTTTTTTCATAGCAGACATTTTTATTTGTCATACTTGGACAACCCCAGGTGTTACATAATTGATGGCTCATCAGTAAGCCCTGACAGTGAGCCAGCATGCACAATAGCAGAATCCTGAAACCAAAGAAGGATTCTTTCTTTTATGTTATGCAAGAATTGCTTTGAAACTACTCCTGTCACATGTTGTTGAAATGTCTTCTGTGAACAAGGCCAACACCGGGGCGCTGATGGCAGTGAAACACCCGAATAGAACGTTTCCATTATTCATTCATTCGTTTTACCCGTTTGATGAGTCAGAATGTCTGCCCTGAGAATGGTATCATGTTACAAAAAACATAGCAGCACATGAACAACAAACATCCTGCACCACTTTGTCACAAAGATGCTCTTTTGGGTCTGGAGTCTGGAGACACTGAACTCCAGCTTTAGGCTTTTGGTGGAAGACTTCCAGTGCTTTCATACCTGAAGTGTTTGGTGTGGTTTAGGGGAATATCGTGTATTTGCACATTTGGTTTGCTTCTTATTTGGGTTCCTCTGTAAACGCTAAGCTAAAGAATCAATCAATTAAACAATCAATTATCCAACAGCCCAATTGATAGATGAACCAATGTTAGCTTAATACCCAATATAATTACTTGTGTAGATGTTGACTGCTAAGTAACAAGCATTACAGAAATGTTAAAGAAATGTGTGCAGCAGTCATCCAGTGGTAGAAACAATATTACAGTTTCTCCACCAGAGAGCACTGACAGGTTTGATTGTAAAATGTCCCACACGGTACAAAAAATGAGTGTCAAAATACTTAAACTGTCAATTATCAATATTGGTGTCAGTCTCTAATTCATTATTATGGCAGTGAAGCTACCTTAAACAAAACAAATTTGGAAACCAATACAGTACACTTCACTGTGCATTGAAGGTTATCAGTATGATGGTGAGTGTATCAGACTAGCCAATGTTAAAAAAAGGTTGAAGTTTTCCTGATGTTTGCAGGTAGACAACATTAACGCTGCAATAGCGGACCTGAAAGCAAAGAACATCAGAACTCTGTCAGCAGAGCCCCGGATAGGTGCTCACGGGAAACCAGTGATGTTCCTCCATCCTAAAGACTGTGACGGTGTGCTGGTGGAGCTTGAAGAAGCCTGAACACCAGTCTGGCAGGAAACGTGGGAGCTGTTAATTCACATATTCCAGAGTCAGTTTGCTAACAAATGTTGATTTTGTAATATTCTTTATAGAACTTTTGATCTCAAGCTGCCTCAAAGTTCTTCACTTTCCTCATGTGTTGGGAATAAATTACAGCATGGTGTTCAGTGGATGTCTATTTGCATTTGAGTTTGGACTTTGACTTGTCTTCATGCCACTATTCAACAACATAACAGGACGACAACATAGTCTCCAATAAAAAAACAAAACTTGTCTTTAAGGTGAAACATGCTTAAGTTCGCAGTACAGAAAAGATGGCCAACAATTCAAAATCTTAGATTTTTTTAGCATGGAGCACAAACAGAAAAACACATTTTTGTTAAAGTAAATTCCTTTTTTCATATTTAAAACTGTATCACCACTAGAAGTGACACCAGTCTCTCCGAAAGAAAACGGATTACAAACTCATGTTGCTGCAAGTCTACGCACAATCTACACCTGCTGCAAAACATTTGAGTTGGAAATCCCCCGATCACGTGATTCTAGATGGTGCATAGATAGTAACTTTTAAAACCGGTCTTTGGTACCATCGGTTAATGATCAGTCTGAAATACTCAGGCACAAGACAAGTGGCTATTTGCTAATGCCTTGAGACCTGAACTTCTGATTAGTTTCACATCCAGCTACTTATTTGGGATTTTTAGTGTATATTTTCTAGACACCACAAGCTCTGAGGAAAACAGTAGTTATGTTCCTCATTTAAGTAAACATGGTGATTATTTTCTTAACTACCAGTCTGTGGAGTCTCCAACTACCAAAACATTTACAGTAGCTGTCCATAAGTTTAAATGCAATGCAAATAGCCAGATCTTTAAAAACCTGTCATTTGCAACAAAAACACAACCTACACTAGAAGCTCACTGCCTAGTTCTGTTTTCTCAGGTAATGGTATTTTTACCCCTTTGTCAGTGGACCAGGTTTTTTATTTATTTATTTTTTTTTTTTTAGATACAGAGTTCAATTCTGGTTTTAACATTGAGACATCAAAAAAAAAAAAGAGACATCAGAATCCAGAGGGTTCGTTTTATTTGGTTTCATTAACAACTCCTGGCGTAAAACACAGCAAACACATAGTAATGACGTAGGCAAAGCTGACAGCAGAGAGAGAAGTAAAAGATACAAGAGTGGGCTTTGGATGTAATAGCTCACAGCTCAGGGATTAGTGAAGTAACTAATGTGGAGTAAACGGCAATAACAATGCGAGTAATATAAGAGGTTTGAATTACTTGCCAGTACCATGCAGATGACTTCATATTTGAAGAACGATTGAAAGCAAGATACAAATACACATATGTAGAAAGCCTTCGTCTATGTGATTTGGATGGATTTAGCTGCTTTCTTTTCCCAGGGTGTGTTTGTCAAACAGGTACTCGGCCAAGCCGTTCTGAGGAGCTCCCATGCGGCGCAGATTGGTCACCCAGTCTCCCAGCTCCTTGATGGACTTCACCTGCTCGTCCAGGTAGTGCGTCTCGATGAAATCACACAGCTGAACAAAAGAGTGAAACCAAATTAGGGCTGAATCACAGACACTTGCTGAATTGAACTGAAAGAACTCCCAATATGGCAAAATTGTCTGTTTTTTGTATTCATTTACCTGCTGAAATATTTTTAAATTAACACGAGCAAAGGTTACACATGAGTTGAATTGAGACTATTGTGACGATTCTATTCTGATGGTACAATCAAATAGTGTTTTGCATCCATTTAGTGAGTTATAGGTCTGTTAAATCCACTAGACTTGAAAAGAACTTGGCCTGAATATTGATTAAAATATATGTATTTTTTTTTTTTATTTTTATTTTTAAAAAGGGTCCAAGTCTGCTGAATAGTACATTTGCTTTAAAACACCCGAGCTGCAGTGTGTGAATACCACAGGCCACATTAAAGTCTGACAGATGTTTTTTCATATCTTGCAAAGAATAAAACTGAAACTTGTAGAATTTGCAGCTCAACAAATCTCTACATTTCTAAATTGCAGGTGCACAAGCGATGTGTATGTCTGAAGTGCTTTGATCTATTTTGTATTCTGAAACAGGCCAATACTTATATGTATGCAAAAAGTAACTGGATCAGTACGTGGATTGGCTAATCCACTTAATATGCTAGATAGTTATTTTAAATTTTTATAGTTTGAGATTGGTGTTCTCTAGAACCTAAATGTTGACACGTGGAAAAAATGTTTTTAAAGGTGCTTTGCAACCACGAATCAATACTCACATGTGGGTCATTGTGATCAGCGCAGAGCTTGTGCAAGTCCAGCAGTGACTGGTTCACGCTCTTCTCCAGCTGCAGGGCACATTCAAGGGCCTCAATTCCACTGCCCCACTCATCCCTCTCTGGCTTCTACAATACACAGCGAGACACTTATTAATGAGAGGTGGAATGCCAACGACCCGACCCAGCCAACAAGCCGTCTGATTATTTCAGAGTGGGTTCTGCAGTTTAACGTTCGACGGGTTGTGTTTTTTGTGTCGTGAGAGATAAGCAGCGCAGCACTCTCACACCCTTTCTATCTTTTTGGCCTTATGTTGCCCTCCCAACATGCGCTACACGATAGCCCAGAACAGGACTTTCACACCCAGTGCTTACGTTAAAGCGGATTAATTGTCACAAAAAACACATTAAATCAAATATGAGCTTGTACCTTGACATCTTGCAGGAAGATCCTCCCTCCCCTCTGGTTCTGTAGTTTCATCAGCTTCTCAGCATGCTCGCGCTCCTCATGCGACTGATCACGGAAGAACTTGGCAAAGTTGTGCAATGCCTGATCATCCCGGTCAAAGTAGTATCCCTGTGAGGAGAAAAGAGTGGAATGTCTGCGTTTTTAAAAAAAATAGACATTTCCTTCAGGTGAAACCAAAAAAAAAAAAATAAATAAATAAAAAAGAAAGTCCTGAAATGTGGCTGAAACGTAAACACAGAAATGCCTAGCTGCCAAAATAATTACACAGCTAAAACTAGCTGTGCATGCTGAATTTAATATGCTAAAATTATGCTTTAAATGAAAATAATATTCCAACCCTACATTACGATAGGTGTGGGATCGATAGGTGAAAGCTGTGCATTAAGTGAAGCACTTTTTTTAAGGCTAGGCAATGCCCTCCATGCCCGGTCTCTGTAAATAATCTCTGAAATGAACTTCAACCTTTGTTTTGTTTCTCAGCCAGACGTCCATTTCACCTCTCCATTTCACGTGACATGAAACAGACCCACCTAGACGCTCAGGTACGCGGTTGACGAGTCACTTTAATTAACACAGCTGCTCTGATGGTGGCTTTTATACATCATGCCAGAATGCAGTCTGGTTAAAAGAATTAGAATCACTTCTCCATAATAACGGACACTTTTTATAACTGGTATACACAGTTCCTCTTATGCTTAGTATAAAGCGTCATCAGCTGCTCCACTCTGGGGTTTCCACTCTTCTTTGTTCCCTCAGCCGAGTTTCATTATTGCCTGAACACTTCTCTTAATTGGACTCTCACCATAGACAGGTAGACGTAGGAGGCATACAGCTCCAGGTTGATCTGCCTGTTGATTGCAGCCTCGCAGTCCTGGTGGAAGTTCTGTCTCACCTGGGAACTCATGGTTCTGAAACACAGCCAACAAAACCCTTACTAGACAAACAGACTCAGAATGATACAACTCATAAGCATGTGTAACAACAGACACGTTTGATAGGTCCGTGTGGTATATGTCACAATTAAAGATTAAACGATGAAGTGTGTTTTCAGTAAATTAATGAGCATTTTGACAATCTGTCTTTCACAATGAAAATTAGTTTTTAACTTGGGTAAAAATCTCACTCGCTAGGTGCACTGCTATACATTTACTTTAAATACAAAAACTGTAGAACAATGTCTACAAATATCTGTTGTGAAGAACAAAAAAAAAAAAATAAATAAATAAATAAATAAATGCCAATCGATGGGCCCAACCTTTATCAGAGGTATCATTTTCAGAGCGCTCACCACACCTAATCATTACCTCATCACGAGGTTTGTTTGACGCAGGCTCATTTTATGCAAGAGGAAATCTAGTCACAGAAATAAAACTCAATTGTCGGAATATCATATTAACTTGGCTGTTGGTTTCTTTAAACAGCTATAATGTTGCAGAACGTCACAAACATCGCGTGGACACACGACTGTTTAACTGTTCGGTTGGTCATTGTGTCCAATGTTGTGGTGCGCCATGCCTCGCGCTGAGGACAATAACGCTACAGAGGGAGGAGGACTGCGCCAAGGCCTCACTGGAGATAAACAACCAGTACTACCGTTACTCCGCTGAACCCACATTCACGGAGACGTCGGTGTGGGTCCGTCAGCGACAGGAAAATATACACACGAGAAGACACAATGCATAGAGATGAATTCTTACCAATTTCGAAGTGGCGGGTCTTCTTGTGAGGAGGTCGAACAACTGTCCCGAGTGTCTGGCGTTGTCGTTGGCTAAACAAACAGTTAGCTATAGCTAGCAAGCTAAACGTGTTCAGGATATCTTTAGCTGTTGTTGTTTCAAGGTCAAATTAATTTCAGTCGATTGTTATCAATTATGGTTTGAGAGATCAAAGCTATTATTTGCGTCTGAAGACAGTTGAAAGGTTGCCGTTCAAGCACTGTTGAAGCAGGTAACCTTCACTGTCCGCTGGCGACGACCGACTGATAAGCAGATGAAGTGGACCGTGATGTAACCGCCCGGGAGAGGGAGGGGCCACGGAGGCTGTACCGCGAGCTGCCCCGCCCTTCGTGTATTTTATACCTTGTACTAAAGTTCAGAGAATTTTTTTCAGTGGTGGCAAAGTATATTTACTGAAGTACAATATTGTGGTACTTGAATATTTCCTACTGTATACATCTACTTCACCAGTCTTGGTGGAAAGTACTCAAGTACAATTTAAACTTTATTTGAGTAATTCCATTTTCTGCTACTTTAAACTTCTACTCAAATACAGAGGGAAATATTGTACTTTTTACTCCACTTCATGGCTTTTAATGTTTTAGTTATAGTTACTTTGCAGATTAAGATTATGAATACAAAATAAGCAATTAGAAAAGCTTCACTTTACTCATAAGGCAGCAATCCATTAGTATAATATGAATTGTTATAAAATGAGCCATTCAGCAAGTACTTTTGATACTTTTGTACTGGTGATACGTTAGGTATATTTTGATAGTAATACTTAATACTACTTACTGTCATTTTACTTGTACTTTTACTTGTAGAGTATACAGTATTAATGAGTATTTATTCACAGTGTTTTTGCTACTTTAACTTAAGTAAAATTCTGGGTACTTCTTCCGACATTATTATATTCCTCTAGGAAGATATTTTGACTCAACTAGGTTTATCTGACAGTTAAAGTTATATTACTTGCTGATTAATATTATTTATTGAAAACATCTGATTGGTGAATGACATATAATACATTATAGATTTAATATCCAACAGATGAATCAGGTGGAATAGGCCAGCCGTGACCAGCTATAACATTGACATGCTGCTTACATTCCAATGTACCTGTACGAGCCATTAGTTAGGTCTGGGTATTATATCAGTTTATATTGGGAGCCTATCTCGGGTTGACCACGGGTGGCAGTGTGTATTAGTGTGGCAGGTAATTGATATATGGGGCACAGGTGCAACAGGCAGGTAATGAGGCATGGGTGACGGGGAGATCACACGGTTTTTTACCGCAAACAAGACACACAAGAGAGGAGACCAGGAAGATAAGTAAGATATCATATTATGTCATCATCTGTTAACCAATTATTCTAATTAAACAGGAACCTCACCCAAAAGTGAAAAGCCTGGAATCTTTATGTCAAAACGAGTAAGAAAACACAATCTTCTCCCGCACCCAGCCGAGTGGCTATGTTGCTGGAATCAGTCACTACAGTACCAATACAAATAATATGACACTCTAAAAGAAGCCTTTCAGCACAAGGACCACTTCTAGAAGCATTCGAGCGTAACAAAGGGATCAAGTTTATTTGTATAGACCAAAATCACGAGTTTATATCAGAGCAGATGACTAACAATATCCACAGCATACAACATCCTCTATCCTCAGACCTCCAACATAAAAAACACACATAGCTACCATGCTGACTCAGCTTTGAACATGACATGACTCAGCTCATTGGAAAACTCCAAAAGTTGGAGATTAAGTAAGCCGTATAGTCACACACATGACTAATTGGCTTATTGGGACATACTGTGTAAGTTACCATATTCAAAGTTCATCGTGTGGTTTAAACTTGTTCCAGCTTTCACAAGGCTAGATTACCAAGTGGGCAACTGTCACTGGGCACCAAAACCCCAGGTTCACAGGCCCACCGTGTGGCAGTTGGTTTGTGGTACTCTTTTTGGGAAATGTCCATAAACTAAAGCACCATATCACAGACTGGGTCCTGCTTTATTACCTGATTTTAAGCCCTGTTTTGAAAACGGGTCCTGTTGTACATATTCCCAAATTAAATTCTGTCAGGTTCATAGGGCGGGACTTTGGCTCAATGCTGTACTCAGAGATCCCCATATGTCTTAACAGTTTACATTGGAATGAGTGTGTGTGGGTTTAGTAAGAGGTCGAGGTCACAAAGTAAAGTTAGCTTAAAAACATAAAGTGATGCACAATGTTCTGTATTTGACTATATATACACTATGAACAACACAGTAAGAGTTGTTTCTTGCCTTGAACAGGATGCAGTACCTTTTGTCAGCTAAGTCTTACATCACCCCCAAGATCCATCTATCAAATATTGTACATTTAGAGCCTGCCAGCGTAGGAGAAAGGATTTGTAGGCATTGTGTTTTCACTGCCGGTGAGTACTGTTCAAACAAAAAATCAACTGTACCCATAGCTTTGTTGGCTGTAAGAGTTTACATTTAAGTGTGATTTTAGTAACTCTGTCATTGTCTACTGTATTGAAATGGTTTTGTGAGACACCGTGGGATAATAAGAGGAGGCAGTGCTTATCAAGAATTCACACTATTGAAATAATGATTTATTTGTTTTGATGCTGTCGTAAATAGACATCCATGATGTTGACCTTTGAACCACATCAATTGGAAGCACTTGGTTTGACCCGAGTAAAACTTTAAAGTCAAGGTTTTCTCTTCTCTTTATCAGTTCACTGAACACTAGAAACCTGATTTCACTGATTAGATTGATCGCTGTTTTGTAGTACATCATTTTTCTTTTGATTCTTATGAATGCATTTTGTAATTGGCAACCTGTAAGACTACATATGTTTTTGTAAACAGTGAACCTTCAATTATACTTCAGAGCCAGTTTGCTTTAAATACATTTGGCGACCCGTCACCTGAACCCACAGCGTAGAAATGACTACGGACCAGCAGGTCACCTGCACGTGTTGTCTGATTGTTTAACCACAGCAGTAAGTAGTGCAAGTATAAGCATAGTGAAGGGATCAACATAGACCTCATGGATAATTCAAAAATGTTTTAAACACTGCATGAAATAGAGGGCCATGTTGCATTTACTTACATGTGGCATCTGCTGATCTGTAGGCTCCATTACATAATTCATGAGTCAATAACAAGCTAGGTAGTTACTCTGGTGTGCTGAATGTGCATAATCTAGTCAAATTAAGTTCTGACTTTCACACATTTAAAAACCTTGAGTTAGAGGTGGCTGTTTTATTATCTTTTAGAGGAGGCAGCACACATTGTACCTCAACAGCGACACACCTTTTCATACCGTACTTAATACCAGGATCACTTGATTCACTATGTCATTCTGCAGTGAAAAGAAATTCAAATAGTTTGGTGTTTTTTTAATAAATTTTATTATTTTTTGAAAAAGTTTAGTCGAACAGGCCGAATCCCATGTCGTCATCGGACCCCTCAGACTCCTCCTTCTCTTCCTTCTTCTCCTCCTCAGCAGCTGCAAAACAAAAAGCACTTCATATTATTTCCTGCTATAGTCACCATAACATATTTAAACAGCTACGCTCATGAGATCACTGTTAATTCAAGCAATCATTAACATCTATGTCATTACATGACAAATTGTGTGAAGTCACATCCTTTTCTATCAAATATGGAAAGTATAACAAGTTTATCCAAAAGGACCCTGCTTAAAAGCCAATAATGTCCCATGAATTTAAATTGTTTTGACAGATTACCAAGGTGACTTGTACCCACCAGGTACATTCTGACCATTTGTAAAATTTGACTTGAGGAAAAACTATTGATGCCTAACTGATTTGGCTGCATGTAATCATGTTAATTAACATACGAGGTGTAGACAAAGGCACCGTGTGCCAAGCGTCGTTGGCGGTGACAAACAAGGTGCTAAGCTGCAAAGCTCACCTGCAGGGGCAGCAGCTCCACCTGAGCCAGCAGCCGCAGAGGTGGCAACGGCTACAGCACCACCTGCTGGCACGCTGGCCAGTTTACCGTAACCTGAGGAGACACAAGTTGGTAGACATAAGATCAGGTGATCACATTGACACTCTGCAGCCAGACACAGGACAGGTCAGTTATCAGTATGTTATCACTAGATATAATCAGGCAATTTGTTCGTAATACTCTGACATAGTTTGTTTAATCTTAGCTAATTGAAATTAACATGTTGGCTCCGCCTGCTATTAAATACAAAATTTTGATTCAAAGAGTTATGAGTAATGACATTAAGAAAACAGTTGATTTCAAACTAAAATCTAAATTAATTGCTACAGACACAAATGCACTGACAAACACTCACCTGTGGCGATCACCTCCTCCACATTCTTGCCCTTGAGCTCAGAAATGACCTGTTGAGAGATATCAAATGTGTGAATATCACAAAGGCAATGACTAGTTGCTGGTACAAGAACTGCTGCCATAACACCAGACACACAGTTGAGTGCAGGACGCTCTGTACCTTGTCCAGGCGGGCGTCATCGGCCTCAATGCCAACACTTTCTAGGATGTTCTTGATATCCTTGGCTGCAGGGCTGCCATTGCCACTCAGGGCAGAGAGAAGGTAAGCAGCAACGTAACGCATCCTGCAGAAAACAACCAGGTAGGTTCAAACAGGGAGCAGATGTGCTTATGGACATCACTGACCAGAAACAATAAAATGTGTACACATTTAGCTACTTTTCAACATAAGAAAAAAATAATTTACGTTAAAGTAACCAAATCATACATTTATTAAATTCGTACATATTTAGACTTCTTAAATCAACACATTGACGATCAACATTAAAACCATGAATGTAACGTGTACAAAATGAAGTACTTAGAGGCACCTCTATTATAAAACCAGACCAGGCATCTTTTGTTATAAACTGCAAACCTTTCTGATCTAACCCTCTACTTAGCACGTGACAGTAATACTGCCAAGCAGCATAATCTTCAAATGTGAGTTTTTTATTCTTTATAGCTAACGTTAGACGTTACATCGTATATCATTTTAAACCCGCCAGATTGTAACGACAAAACGCTGGAGTTGAAGACATCTTTATGTTTCAAAACACCGCGTTACTGGGTTTCTGGTCATGTATAAAATATATGTATATATATAACCGGGTATCAAATAAGAGCATCTATTGAGACTAGACTTGTTACTGGGTTTCTGGTCATGTATAAAATATATGTATATATATAACCGGGTATCAAATAAGAGCATCTATTGAGACTAGACTTCATGGTGTGAACTCCATTTTATTAACTATGAAGCATAAACTATCTGCAGTGAAAAATGTTAGATTTTCTCAGACAAATGTTAGTTTGAAACGTGTTAAAGAAATACCAGTTTTTACACCCATGTGGCGGCGTGTTCTTCAGTCCCGGTAACATTAGCTAACGGTAGCTAACCTAGCCGCCAAAGACGTTGCGGTGTTGGAAATGAGATAATATCGCTAAAATGTCGCTCTTTCATACTTTCCAGCTACTGGAGGTGATGGTGTACTTATTTATATCAATAACATGCGTGTTCTCCCCGTGATAAATACATTTATTATATCTTTAAAACACACTCACTTGAGCTAGACGGTGAACGCGTGTACACTTCGAGGTTAGCACGGATAGAAAGGAAGTTACGTCACGCGACGAAGGCGAAAGAAACCTCTTCTTCTTCTTCGTGTTTAATAAAAGTCCGAAAACAGGTACACCGCCACCTGCTGTTCCAGAGAGTGTAGTGCACACTGTGCTAGTTTCTAGGGCTGAGTGTTTATTATCAACATACACGTAGAGAATGCTGATATCTTATAGTGCAGTCATGAAGCGTTATTGTAAACCTCTACACAACCCAACAATGGTTTCATACATTAGATGTAGAACAGTATCTCAAAAAACAAAAAAATACAGAAAACCACCACAGCTCTATTTCTATTAATAAAACACCTAAATAGAAAAAAGCAGTGAAATGCAACAGATATTAATCTGAATGTTGCATTTAAAATTAATTTGTATTCATGTCTATTTATTTGAAATCATTATGGGACATTTTTGTATTGTTATATATCTATGTTCCATGTACTTCCATTAAATTATACTTGATACAATAAAGACGAGAGGTAAAAAAAAAAAGCATTATTGAAAGGTTCCAATCACTGTCCAAGAAACCAATAACATGGGTACACATCATTCAAGCTGCTGTCAGGGGGTATTTACTGATGTATTTTACATCGTAGAGCAACATTTTTAAATCTCTTGAGCTTATGTTAACCACAGACCTTATTTTAGGCATCTAATCAAAAAACGGTAAAAGAAAAACATTGACAAGGGAACCGGAAGTGCAAAAATGTGGACTCATGCCCGGGTTGTAGAACCACCGTTCTACTCCTCCCAACAGTATTTGACAGCTAAAATGTAACATTTCACTCTACATCAGAAAGAGCTCTTACTGTGCGACTGTTCATGCTCTTGATGCAGATTTTCCATAAAACATCCAACACTTACAGTATGTGTGAGACTTGAAGAGTGTAGACTTTTTTGCAGCCTGTAATTGCGTCTTCTACAAGTATTACATGTTTGGAACATAACCTGTAATAAACGATAAGAGACATGCCCATAAACATCTTGTTTTGATTATGAAGGGATGGGATCACAAGTGTCCTCTCTGCGCTTTGACTGCCTTTGGTGGTTGTTTCCACTGTTATTGAGCCTAAAATTAAAAATAAATATAGTGTAAAAGATGTTCAAAAAACCACCAGAAGTCAAATATTTAAGCAGTTTATTTAGTCTTTAGTCCAACTGTTATTTTATTCTACATCACAACATTGTACATTCCACATCAATGTAACACAGTAAACTGGGTAAGAAACCAGAACACAGAATAACACAACATAGCCTACAGGTAATACTCCTAAACAAGCACAGACTCAATTATTTCAAAACATTATCAAAGTTTTCACAAATGTTGCAAGTTTGGTCTTGGTACTAGAAAGAAAAGACAAATCAGTTCAGACCTCAGAAAAGAGGGGCTGATGTAGGACAGTTCATCTCCAACGTTCACACCGTCAGGAGACCTCGGTCCAACAGCAGCGCTGCTTTAAGAGACACTTTGCTGACATGGCCCTGGTACACTGTAGTCAAAATGGAAGTACCCATTATTCCTGGTATTTGTTTTTTAGGAAAATCACTTATAAAACTTGAGAAAAATATCAAAAGAAAGCTATTATAAAAAATACTCTATTGACCATTCCAATATATAGACAAGGGAAACTGGTAGAAACTTGAAAGGTACTTCACAAACGTTTGCAACCAAGTTAGACAATGGTCAGTGACATTCAGTGGTGAGTGTGACTGTGCAGTATCAATACCAAGTCTCATTACATGTTTTCCTGATTTACTATTCATGTGTGTAAGCAGTGGATCTAGCTAGCTAGTGTTGAATAAAACAATCAATACATTATATTAAGACATTTCGAACTTCTATGTACACTCAGACTCTCTGCCTTGAAACTAAAGTATGCTCACAGTAGCCTATGGAATGGTCTATTGCTAACCACACGTTCACATCCCGACCATCGTTAATTAGACAGCGAGGCTAATGTCAAATGGAGACTTTCACTGCAACTACTTTGATGATCAATGTGAGAAAGTTAAACATTGTAAATGTCTCATAAGATAATTTAACTCCAATGTGTCTGAGTGCAGCGTTCCCAAACGGAGACATTTGTCCACACAGCCTTAAATCAGTGATGTCCAATAACATTCTGCAGTAAAATGACAACTATTTTGCACCATTACAGGATATTTCCAAAGTTTGTTAAATGACTTTGCATAGATAATTGATTTTGCATCCATTTTTTGCAGCGCGTTTGATTTATTTTATTGTTCCAAAATTTGGCATTTTTCTTCAAGGAGCAATGGATTACAGGGAGCACACCCACTACAATATAACGGGCTATGTGATCTGTGTGTATCATCACTTTTGTCTTGCAATATTAAAGTAATGTACAATCTGGCAAAGATGCCTCCCACTAACTCCAGTGAAGATAAAACCTGACATTTAACAATGGACATTATGTAGCGACTGTAACAAACAAAAGAAAAAAAAAAGTGATTTGTTTGCTCTGAAGTTAACTTCAGCAAACAGCCATTTTAGTTCCAACTATTATAATTATTATTTAGTTCCCTTACTGTATGTTAATAGATGGTGGATAACTTAACACTCAGCTACACAGGCAATCGGTGAACTGCTGAACTATCTAATCAGCACAATAATGTCATGTCGGTCACGACTTAACTGGAAACCCATTTAACACTAAACTGCATTAAAAAGGAATTAATTTCTGAGGAATGGTTCAAAGAGACTGAGGCTACACTGAAGGCAACATGTTCCTGCTTCCATACATTGCATGCGTTTCTGTTACTTTATCCACCATCCATCCAACCCTACTTCAGTGACACACATCAAATATATCTTCACTACCTTCCTGTCTCAATGATGTGATGCGTTGATCCTGAGACGCACATATTTTGTTGTTCCTCTAACAGCCATTTATACTGAAGCTTATTAGTTTGACCCTCGCTGGGAAAGCAAGAAAAGTCTCATTTTTGTTTGAATAATAAAATGCTTAAAAGAAAACCATGACTTGCAGACTTGTTTGATTGACATGTTGCATGTAGACATAAGTGTAGGATTTGAGCTTCTCCATGAGGAAAGGTTTTTTAAAAGCATTAATATTCCACTTCATAATAAGGAACATCCATATTACAGCTAAACATGCACTCAGCAAACACTTTAAAACTATAAAAGTATGGGAGGACGGTCTACATATTCAGCATGTTGGGGGACATTCACACCGTTTTGACATTAGCCTGCTTAAACCTGCCTGTCAGGAAGTTGAATGTTTGGCAGTATTCAGTAACAAAATGTCATATCATTCTCATTGTTAGAATATTGTGCAGTTTGTATATTACATACAAAGTACATAGGTGCCATTAAAGTGTTGGCTTTAATGGAGCAAAGACAACGGCTAGTGATGATAAAAGAATAACGACAAAAAGATACGTAAATAAGTCTGCAGTGACATGCAGGTCAGAAACAGTTTTAACGTATTAATAAGTTATTAAAAGTATGGGTGTACTCCTGTTTTTAGTCTTATCCCAGCACCAGTTAAACATGTCAACAACTATCAGGATAAAAAGAAAATGTTCAAATGAAGTGAATGTTTCATTTAAGAAACACTTTTGTTCTGCAAGACGTTGTTAAACAAACTGACAGAAAAATAAAATATGCCAATGAAGCAGATTTACAGCATAATCCCTTAAACACGGTGTAAAGTCTGAATATGAAGAAGCCGTATATCATCAGCTCACATTAGGCATTACTGTGACCACAGAGATTGTTTGATATTCCAAAGACAGATGTTCAGTAACTGACTACTGTAGCTGGTAAAAAGAAGAACATGACATATAGTACATTCCTGATTTATGTCAAGACAAATTAAACAGAAGCTGAACAGCTTTTTATCTCATGTCATGCTGACAGCAAGTATTTGCTTATGAAGGTTTATTACTTTATTAAAAGTAGAAATGGGAGTCTGTGGCGGCAGCAATTTAGTTCAAAAGTTGCCGAGACCCCATTACATCACTTACAGTGCGTGCTGAGCTATTTATAGTGTGCTGTGACGTTAGAAATCTATAAATGTATGCCCAGAGAAAAATAGATAATCCATCATTTTTGTTTTGAAGTGTCCTTTCAGTGGTTTCCCTTATTATCCAGCATACAGCTGTTTCTTTTTAACTAATTAAAACATTCATCAACTCCTCCAAAGCTTCCCTTCTCCGGACATTGCCCGTAGAGCGGCAATAAAAATAAAACGGCACCTTTTCCGAGTTTGCACAATTAAAGGGTTTCTACAAATGCCCCCATGTATTTATATAAATTTGAATCTTTGAAAATAACAGATGCAAAGGATTTAGTAATTCCTGCCACAAGCATTTAATTACCAGTACTTGACTTTAAACCATTAAAAGTAAAAACATAACGGTGAACACAGTACATAAGATAAACATGCTTGCCCTGAGGCACTTGGTAGTGGCTGTGATAAAAGAATTAAAAACACTACCTTTCCATTTAAAGGAATTGTGTAGTTGGTCTCAAAAGCATTCAGAGTTGCATTCAAATTGTCAATTCAAAAATAATGCACACGTGTGAGTGACCACTTATACTGACAATCATGATCATTATTACGTTTGTCTAGAGCTGTAGTGTCCAGTGTAACAATGGCAAATATTAAAAAATGCTGCAGAAAAGAGAAGAAGCACGATGTACAGTATATGTGAGTAGGAACTGAAACTAAAAACTTGAGTGTGTGTGTGTGTGTGAAGCATTTTTTGGGGCAGGGAGATAAAAAAAAAAAGAGAGACCAGAATACATGGCCAGAAGGCTAGAGGAGGAGAGACATGGGAGCTGGGCATCAACACAGATAAATCCTACTGGGGGTAGTTGTTCTGTTGCCGGCGCTTCGCCGACCTCATTTTCTCAAAGCGTGACTCCATCTCCTCGAGGACTTTGGGGGTGTACCTTACTACCAGCTTCACTGAGCTCTGAGCTGCTTTGAGGAGTTCCACAGCTTTCTCGTGGTGCTCACCTTCCACACTCTGGGGGAAAAACACAGAAACATGCTGTAAGATTTTAATCACAAAGAGGAATAACAACCGTTGTAAAGTCCACTGTTTGTGTAGCTTCATAATCCAAAAATCAATATACAGTGGGCAATTGTTAAGTAACACGTTATGTCGTAACCTATGGAAGAAACAATAACCTCAAAGCTTAATAGGAATTGGAGAGACTTTAAAACTATCATAAGGTTTGGCAGCCTGGTTCAACTTTCTCATATAAACATTTGTAATTTGGAAATTTTAATGGGAGAATAAACTGAGCAATCAACAAAATCTGTTTATGTTGTACAACAATCGGATGATTGTTATTGGCTGATCCCGGCATTTTAAACTAACTAAGCACATCTGCAGAGTGCTGCCGTGTGGAGTTTTTTTTAAACAAATAACTGTATGTTTAAATTCTAAACAAAACACATTGCTTGTATTATTGAAGCCTATAAAACATGTTGAATGCAATTCCCTTCCTCATAAACCATTCTTAGAGGCAGCAATTCTCAGAAGGATTTGAAACCTTTATCGTTTACATTCATATTTGCTTTTCTAGCAGTCTAGCAGGCGCTATATTGGCCGTGATGCTTACAACCACCTAGTGGAATAGTGTAACACCAGGACTGAATATGCGTCACCTACATACACGGGGGGAATGTTTGAATATCCCCACTGACAAATAGAGGACCTACTGCTAAAAACATTGCTCCATAGCAACAATGAAAAAAACTCTAGATTTAGTTCTTCTGACATCTGCTTTGTGCAAAGGGACTGTTGACAATAACAACATCATCACCAACATGATAATAAAATTGCATCTCTGTTGCCTGATTTCTGGAGACACCTCAGTCCAACTTTGGTGGCAAGTACACTGAACACATGAGTTACAAGTTGAAGTTTAGCTGAGCTATAAGCTAAAGAAGCAGAGGTGAACTTTGGAGAGAGTCTAAGAACATAGGGTGTCCTTTGCTCTGAAGATTGTAAAGCCCTTTGAGGCAAATTTGTGATTTATGATATTATGAAGCTATAAAAATAAAAAATGACCCGACTTGAAACGTAGAAGTAAATCTACGAGGTATTAAATTGTTAAATCTGCCCTAATTGCTCAAGTGTTTAGTTTATCACCTGGTGAATAATGAAGCCCAGTTTACAAAAAGATCATCTGAAGTGTGTGTCATGCTAAAGCTTCACTTGTAACATCCTGGAGTAAGTCTCAATGCTGTGAAGTGAACGTACCACCCCATTGACAGAGAGAAGCTGGTCGCCTCTCTTCAGGCCTCCATGTCGGTCAGCGATGCCTCCTGGGATGATCCGCGAGATATAGATAGGTGAGTTTTGCTCCTTTCCACCCATTATATTGAAACCCAGGCCTTCTTCTGTTTTGGGCAGTTCCACGACACGTGGATGCGAGTGTCCCTCACTCGCTGCAAAAGCTGCCACAGTTGCCTACAAATGAACAAAGTGGTGTCATTCAACCATTGAAAATGCACTCGACACGCGATGTTAAGTGTTCAACGAGAGTAATTAAAAAAAACGAATGGTCTGAAAATAAAATGTGAAAAAGATGCTATTTGAGTTGGGTATACCTTAGCTGTGGCGTTGGCCCTGACCTCAGGGCTGCTGTTGATGTCCACCGTTTCATACACATGCTCATAAACCTGAAGAGACATTGTTGGACAATATTTTGTCACATCCCAGGAACAGCTGCCACATTTCCAAATGGTGAACACAAAGTCATCAAACCAAACCCTGTTTTTAAAACACATTCGTTTAACAGCAGACGAGAAAAGTGAACTAACGCCATGTCACAGTTAAGTGTTTTACAAATACTAAAGTCAACGGGTCTCACTTCTCTGACAGCGTTACAGAATTCACTCTGTAAGACCCTCTGCAGCGCCTGCAGTTTCCCGGGAGGCACTTCCCCCGTCCTTTGGAGCTTATCAAGCAGTTCGACAGCACGGTTAATATCTGTCAACAAGAACACACATACACCAGCGTCAGCGTTTCCATTGATATCTGCAAATTGAGACATTCACAATGACTGTTTTCGGTGTTAATGTCAGTACTAAATCTGTATCAATGTAAAGCTAAAAAGCAAGTAACTATGAATAAGCTTAGCAAATGCTTGTTGTTACCACTGAACCTGATTACTGATCACTTCTGTCAGTTAACATGACTTCAGTTAGTCTGAGATTGAATTTACCTCGACTTGCACTACAATTGTTGTGATGATAAAGACTTTGTCCCTGTGAGGAAGCTTGTCTTGCAGCACTGTTAATATACCATAAATAAAAAAATATTAAGAATACTAATAAACTGTTAAGAAACTACACATGTCAATAGAGCAACTTCCAATACAGAACACTCCAAAGCAAGATATAAAATAAGTTAATCCCTTATTAGACCCACAGCGAGGACATTAGCTAAATGATATACTATATTAGTAAATTTCAGAGATAATATATCATTAACTTCATGTTTCACAGATGAGTAATTGCCTCTACCACCACAGGGAGAAGGAGCAAACATTATCAGCTGCTCTGTCGAAATAAATATGAAATTACAATACGGACAAAAACAAGTGTGAGCCTTTTTCCTCCTCCTGTTTATGTTTTTATTATTCCGTTAATCTGTGCTAACAGCTACTGTAAGGTAGGCTGATTAAATCATTAGCTACAACTTCCTTCAGTATTTCAGTTTCACCAACAAGCGAAGAGATTGTTTCACATATTATTTTGACGTTTCTTATGTTCTTCTTTAGTCTAGGTTAACATTAACGTACATGTGTTGGGGCTAGTTTAAATAAAACACTGTATTAGCAGACACAGCATGAACTAATGTCAGCTTGTTATTAAAAGAAAGAGTGAGTCTGCTATGTAAATATGTTCTGCTCATGATTAAGCTTGTGCAAAAGAGTGCATGAAACCTCAATTATCATACGTTGAAGACGTTAACGAACCAGCTGGGTAAACTGATTACTGTATGTTGTCACCGGTATTAGCGAGTTAGCTAGTGCGCTAAGTAAAACCATGTAGCTGTAAAAGCTATCGTTACTCTCGCTCGGTGACTAGAACATTATATATATATATATATATATATATATATATATATATATATATATATTAGTCATAGTCAGAAACACTGGCTATCAGCAGGACACATTGGCCCACTAACGATACACAAGAAAGTGCCGATGATCACCAGCTCTGTGTGGCTAACGCTAAGCTATCTTAATGTCGCCATGGATCACAACAAATACTTCTAAGCTAACGCTAGCTAGCCAATTAACTTTACCTCTTTCCAACCGCACGGGCTCCCCAAGCGATGCCATTCTTGAAACTAGTGGCTATTTAATTTCAGGTAGTTTTTGCGTTAAACACTGGATATGGAAAACGAAATATGGTAATCCCCTGTGGGCTAACGTTACGTGCGTTTAACCGAGACGATACATCAGATTAGCCAAGTTAGCCGGCTAGGCTAGTTGCCAGTGTCATGATGCGTTCAAGTAATAATCGTAAAGTCTACAACTCATTACCCACCAAAGTCATGTTGTTTTCCCATAGTTATGGATGCTCCGATGCACCACTGAAGGCATCTTTCCAAACTAATGTGAATAGGTCAATATTTTATTTTCAAACAACCCAGACGTAGTTAAGTATTTATGTAATACCGTACATACATCACAATAAGGGCGCATGGCTTAATGTAGTGGATAATGGAAGTTATTTATATCCTTGAGGACCCGTCCTTCTTAATGCTCGAGTGCCTTGGTGCATATTTTATTTCTGGAGTTGATTCCCACTCTCAATGTTGGATATGTCACGGTGACTCTGGTTTAACTTGAAGTATAGGTATTGGGTTGTGTACGTTTTCTGTAATGCGCACATGGAATATGGACCTCGTGTTGTGTTTACACTATAGTTCTCCTCGCAGCATTCAGGAAAAAGGTGAAGAAAATTGCCCACTATGATCCCAGACCCATTTCACAATCACACAATCAACAGTAATCTGTGTGTTAGTGCATCATTCCTTTAACGGCTGTGCTGCACCTATATATGGATGCTCATAGCTCAAGGGATTAATACATAATATGTCAAGGGAACAACCAGAATGTTCTTTGGCTATTTCCAGATACCTCGGAATATTCTCTCTGCTGCTCTCTACTGGTTGCAGCACATATTGAGACTCCAGTACATAAATCTGCAGAAAACTGCTGCTGCACTGCTCCATGTGGGCGGAAACTTTCAAGCTTGACTCACTTCTGACCACACCCCAGTGATGACTCACAAAGTGTTTGCCTTTGACGTCTGATGAAATACACCTGCTGTGACATCACTGACTGGGGTGCGGCCAGAAGCACAACACACTTGAATGTAGTGGAGCAGCAGTATTTATTGTCTTTTTTTTTTATACAAAAGGCTCATTGTTTTTGTCTCTAAGCGTCAGCCACATCTCTGGGTTAAACAAATGCTAAATCATACTGTAAGATCTATTCACATGTATGATTTATGATCACAAAATACAATATGGGCTTCATTCAGAGTGAAAGGCAACTGGCCTATTCAGAGTCACTTTGATTAGAGGATGGCAGTTTTCTATTACTGATGCTTTGTTAAACAAACACAGCTAGAGGCTCCTACTCATGATATATGGAGCAGCTCAGAATACCTTGTCTATTATACATGGCAAAAGGTTTGATTCACTGTCCTGTATGCTGAAAATGTGTTAGTGCTCAGACATGTTGTTTGAATTGTATTAAATCATTCAAATTCTAGGGTGGACTTTCTGTGAAAAGCAAGGCAGAGCAGCTGCTTGTCTTCCTGTAGGATAACTAAATACTTTTTAAATTCTTACTTGGTGAGAACTTTTACTCTGTGATTCATGACAATAGATCATTTGAGAGACACTACTGCATGCTTGTCATCTTTCTCAGAGGTAGCATAGAGACTTTCTATTTCTTCTAAGCTTCTGTATAAAAAAAAGTAACTCACAGCATCTTCATCAGCCTCCTCTGGAGAATCCGAGACAAATAGAGAAGAAAGTGGAACATCTTTTCCTTGCTTCATGAAAAAAGTTTTCTCTTTGCAGCAATTTGTTTTCCAAATCTCAAAATGCCAGATCCGGTTCTCTTCAGAGGTCACACTTACCTTCAGGTTGATGACGAAGAAGTAAAATGAGGTGGTTGGGATACCATGTAACACAAATATAAGACATAATTGAAGCCTTCAATGAAGCTTTGTATCTGCCTTTTTATATGTGAGTCTTCTCTTTCTGAAGTACGTCTTATTATGGGACGTGGTTGATGATATTAAGATGCAAGGTGAACATGTTTAATTGTTATCCTGCTATGACCTTAAACTATGGGATCCGGACTTGGAAAGCAAGGGGTTCTCACCACGTAATGCTCACCGCGAGTTATAATCTGCTGGAGATACAAAGTTGCAGTAGTCTTTAACCCAGATACCAAACCAGGCTTTTTCCTTCCGATCACTGTAAATGTACTGCTGCATCAAATCTGAGTGTTTGTTCTTTTGTAGAAGATTCAAAGATGGGATTACCATGTCATATCAGGTGTATCTTTTTGATGTACACAAATGTATGTGTCTCTGTCGAAACTCAGTCTACTTGTACTGTAGTCTAAGTTCTTGTAATTGTAAATTACATGTGCAGCAAGTAAATCATTGAATAAGTGTATAAACACCAAAGTATCAAAGGACATTCGATACATTTGTGTAAGTAATGTGCTGGTGGGGAGCAGGAAGTGGTTTAGGAGTATTTTAAAACCTTTCCCCTCCTCATTATAATACTGAATAACACGGAGAGCTGCAAAATATACATTCTTTCCACCCATAGCATTATTCAGTCATTATTGCTTTCAGTAATATAACCGAATGCATTGACTCCTCTGCTACTGAAAATATTATATTTTCTTGCAGCCTTTAAATTTATTGAGCATCCTGGTCATGCATGATTTTAATTTGGTCATTTTGGTTGGCAGCAAATTCTTTGCACGTGCATGAGTGTGTATGTGTGCCATGCCTTCTTCCCCGCCTTCCTGTCTGTATAATAAAGTTTATCCTGCTCGGAAATTCACTGTTGAAACTTTATCGACATTGATTTTGTTTTTCAGTTGCCTATATTTTTATTTCTTCAGATATTTCAGTTTAATATTGCAAACAACTTCACAACATACAAAATGAATAATATTAACCCAGAAACATGTCAATGAATATATTTTATATATATATATATATATATATATATATATATAAATTCTTTTTTTATATATATATCTTGTCCTCTGGTGGGGATAAAAAAATAAACAGCAAAGCTTTGACAACAGCACCTTGACATAGTATGTAAGTCCAACATTACCTTGAGAAGTTTAGAACAGTAAACAGATAAATTACTTGAGAGGAAAATTGTTTTCTGCTGAATATGTAAACGGAATGTTTTTTGGTCAGCGTCGTATCCTTTTTTGTAAGTGGAGAATTTCTCAATTCACAATTGAAGCAGCATGCAAGCTTTTTGAAGATGGAACTGTCCCCTCTCATTCCTTGCCTTTTTTTTCCTCCTTCATTTTCTAATTCTTGGCAACGTAAACAAATCACAATGTCTTGAGAGATGTGATATAGTAATTTAAACTGGGCGCAAATGACTGATCAGATTTTTTTTAATCGTTTACAAGGTCATGAATATGTTCAATAAATAGACTGTAGTATCACTTTTACTGTATAAACTTCATCTTTTTTTACATGCAGTCCATAAAATTTTCATTTGACGGAATAATTTACCCTGTTATGTATATATACAAATAGATATTTTCTCTTTATTCTCTTTTTTAAACTCTTCAATAAAATCTATACATTTTATACACTATCTCCCTCTTTTAATGGTCAATGTGCATACACATGAAGTGTCTATCCTTATAAACCGCCAGCCAATCTTCTTTTTGCTATCCATGGTAAGCGCTCGCACGTAGGACTGGGTTGTCCTGCATTGGGAATTATAATGCCGCTTGTCTATTCCTCTGCAGCCCTCCTTTGTGTACCCCATGGGGTTGCATCTGGTCTCATAAAAGTATTGCTTCAGCTGGCCATTGGGGACAGGGACTTTTTCCATGACGGTAACTGTCTGCCCAGACATGTCTATTGCCGTCTTTTTATCCACAGCTGTCACCCACTGGCTAATACTGTCACACACACTGAGCTCTCCGCGCCGCGAGGGATCGGAGTGTCGCCGCACCCTCATGGACATGTTAGCGGCATCCAGATAGTTTTTGTATTCCTCCAGAAGAAAGAGCAACGGTGGCTCCAAAGGCACTTGGTTGCTGATCATCACCCGCGAGTCGTACAGATCGACATCCTTGGTCTCTGTGGTGACCAAAGAAGATGGGCCCCCACCTCCCTGGCTCTTATCAGCCCCCTGTCCCAGCTGTGCCGCCTCTCCCTCCACCTCCAGCAGCTCCTCTATCACCTGCTCAAAGGTGTCTGTGAGTGAGGGCAGTTCCCCGTGCTGGCCTGGCCCACCACCACTCTGTGGAGTCCCGTGGCCTCGTGTGGCCGTCGCAGCGGCGCCCAAGTAGCCTTCCGTCCGATGGCCCCGCATGCCCGGGGCGTCTCTCAGGGGCGCAGCTCTCATGCAACTGAAGTACGAAATAACCATAGTAAGGAACAGGATGGTCATCACTCTTCTAACCTGGTGGAACTGGAGGGGGAGAAAAAGACAGAAGACAAAAGGGGAGGGGGAGAGAACAAAACTGTTAGTCAAAGAGCATTTTCAATGAAGTTAGCTTATTCTTGATCCATAATGCACCATGTAAGCCTTTCTTCTTATTTACACCATCTACCCTTTCTATGCAAGCCAACAGGAGAGCCAGTTGCTTTGGAATAATCACAAAACGTTTTTTTATTCAACTGAGTCATCAGTGTTTTCAAAATGTTTGCAAACTGTAATCACTCTGTTCCTATGTGAGGTCTGGCTTAGGTTTTTATTTGTTGGCAGCCGTGTGCAAAAGCAGTGCTGAGCATCTAAAAGATTCCTATTACAAAAGATAAGATCACACACAAATAGATGTCCCTTCATCTGAACAGGCTTGTTATTATTCATGCGCTTTAAAAAAAGAAAAAGGTGTGTTAAAACTGTGCAGTTTGTTTCTCGAACTTGTGGGGATATAACGACCAAACCAGTCATTCATCCCTCACTGCCTCAGTCATAGGGTTGTTTTGTTCGTTTTGAAAGCTCAGACCTTCCCCTATTTTCTAAAACTATATAAAGGACATGGCAGATATCCATATTGTTAAACATTATGTTACTTCGGGAAAGTTGTAAGATTTCACAATACAGTGACCATTAAATTGGCGAAAAATGGATACACATTGGGCTCCAAACAACCGAGGGTCAACCGTGAATTGGCACAAAATTAGGGCAGGCTCTGCATGTATTGACATAAGGATAGGGTTTTGTTCATTTGAAGAGCTCATGTATTATCTTTTGGCTTAGACATTACCTCACTAACAAAATCACCATTATCAACCCTCATGGACAGCACTTACTGGCTGTTTTTTTAACTGGTCTGTGCTGTAGGACAGGTCTGATACTAATCCCTTAGAGTCATGTACGGGCATCAGGAGTTTGTTGAGGGACACTGTTTGTTTTTAGTATAGGTGGATGACGAGAGCACTGCAGGATGAACTAACAGGATGTCATGCGGAAATTGAGAGACAGAAAGATGTGTGATCCTCGCTGCACTGTGAAGTACCAATCTGGAAAAACTGAAATGTCAGAAGAGAAGCAAAGCACTGCTGGGGGGGGGCAATCCACATCGAGCCAGGTGTAGCGGAAATATATATATATATATACATCGCCTGAGCATATATGCATCCCTTACCTTTCAGAAGCTCTAAGATTCACAGCATATCAATGATATGGACATCCAACAGCCCGAGATATAAAAGCAACCATAATGAAAAGAAAATCTAGATCTTGCTTTCCACTGGGGCTCATTTAAAAATAGCCTGACCGAGGCTTTGACTGCACTCTGCATGTCTCAACTTGATACAGGAAAAAAAAAACGGCGAGCAAACACACTCTGCCTCCACTCAGGACGGACATGAGGACCTTTACAGTAAGGGAGGAGCGAAAACCCCACCTTAAAAGCATTTGTTTCATTCTTAATTGGTATCAGGGGCCGTGGCTGCAATTAACCAACACCACAGTGACTGCCATAGAGATATCTCGTCTATAAATAGATGTGCTGGGAGTCTCACAGTCTCTATTCAGAATATCACATCCTTCTTCTTAATGAGCCACTCATTCCCTGAGCTCAGTGACGTGCATCTCCAGAGTGTGTGAGTGTGTGTGTGTTAAGGGGAGGGCATGGGGAGGGGCTGGCTTGGATATCTTTGCAAGGAGATGGGGGTATTTTTCCTCTCACCAATTAAAACAACAATGAGGACAAAGGAGCTAATTATCAAATTGTAATTAAATACTGATAATAAAAGCGTATTTATCAAGCTTAGTAACCCCTTTATATTGCTAAGGTTTCGGTTCTGATAACAATGAAATCTCTGTGAGGCTTCCCAGCACAGAAAATCATGTAGGTTTACGGGATCGAGGCCAGTCACGAGCTTTATGTGTAGGATGCATTTAGGCTGATATTATTATCAGCATCACGCTCAAATGGCTCCACTTCCACATGACGGAAATGAAGGCAGAGGGCTGATTACTGTTAGGCGTCAAACTTCATGCTGGAAATGGTGCAGACGATGAGTGCTGCATCTTCCGTAACAGACCACAGGGGTAATATTGCAGTAGCAGGGGGTGGAGAGATTGCCAGCGTCATTTCGCAGCATAACAACCACAGATGACGTCTCTTCCAGGTCTCCATAGGGGAGAGAATGGAGGGGAGGAGGTTGCTGGGGGTAATGCCACTCAACAGTGTGCAATTGCAGGCTGCTCCCCCGGGAATCCTCACACCGGGAACAACAAATGATTTTATTTCTATCTCTGTGATTTCCTGTTTCCATCAGGACAATCAATATGGCTTATGCTCTCAATCAACATCCTGTTAAAATGCGATAAAGCCAATGAATCATTTAATTGCTGTGGGACTGGCGGAGAATCTCTGGCTTATATCTACTAGAGGCTAAATGTGACAACTGATTGGTTCGCTCTTGTTTTATACATCCAGTGAAGGAACATTTTATGTGCACTGCTGGATTTCGCAGTTAATGAAAAAGCGGCTTGCGAGTTAACACAATGAGCATGAATAATAGAGCGAGGGCAGAACAACATATGGAGGAATGTTTGGAATAAAATGTACTTTTTTGGAGCCTCGGGCCAACTTTGTGAGGAGCGGTTTGATTATAAAAAAAAGATAACACAAGGAGCTGGCTGGGCACAGTGCCATTTCTGTTATCTTGTGTCTTTTGCCTTGTGAGTATTGTTGAAATCAGATTGTTTGTAAATGAAATCCAGATAGATCCCAACAATCCAGCTGTGTCACATAATAAACTAAGTGTCAAGGCTGTCCAAGTATGACAGTTCTTTTGTCCATAAACGTAAATCACTTAACATGAGATAACAGGAAGATAAAAGCCTGCAATAACCGCTGCAAACACGCCTTTATTCCAGACAACATACCCAGAACAATAGGAGCAGGTGAGTGTGCGGACTCTGTCTACTGTTTGGCTTTGACGTCTCTGAATAACCACCTGTTCATCTGCTTTGAGAGCGTGGCTGTATGGTGGGGATATGTAACTTATCCTCGCATTTATTCTTTGTGCCAGGTGGGGATTAAAATGATAAATGCCCCCTTTGACAGATGCTGAAAAGTTTCTCTAAAGCATGAAAGGACTGGTATTATTACACATTCAGTAATGTTCCCAAGCCTCCAAGCACATGTCAGCACACTTTATGGCTTCATCTTCATGAACAGCGTGCATAATATCGTAGGAACCGTTAGAAGGGAAAATAAACATCAAACAGAGGAGATGAAAGAGGGAAAATGTGCCCACTACATTTGAATAGAAATGTACGACCTATAGCAACATTGGTTCCTCATTCTTGCTCCCTTGTGGGCATCCGTCTTTGTTCAATTCCTCAAGAAGCGTGTCGGGTTAGAGCTATTTACCTAGCAACATGTTTTGTCACGTTGCAAAGTGCACAGCACACAATACCAAATGTACAAAAGAGACACATGCAGCACATGATATCCAAATTTCTACCTGAGGACCCCTCGTGTGCCACAATGCAGCACTTAGAAAAAAGGCAATTAGAGTTTGTCTGCAGTAATGGCTGACACATGTGGAAGCTCGCCTCCTTGAGATCTGTTTTCAATCTGACACAGTTTCAGAGCACGTTTAGTAATAGATGAGCATCACTAAGGGATTATACCTGGCCTCCTGGCCAACCCCGAGCCACTGCCACAGACAGCCCAGCATTCAAATAGCTGCTGAGTGATATGTGCTAACCAAATGAGTGCTGCTTCCCTCCCACACTGTGTGCAGCAGTGGACAATTGAGAGACTACAGCAGCAACACAGGGCAGTGTGGTAAAATCCTAATTGACCGCCTTAAACGTGCTGCTTCTGTGTTAATGTAGTACTCTTACACGTCCTATTAAAGTATAAAGAAAAAAAATGTTAAATTTAACCCACGAATCACCGACTCTGGAACCTGACTACAAACTCAACCAACAGACCAACAGCTCCGAAGGAACGGTGCTGCAGTTCACCGCGTTGCACACTAGATGGTGTGTGAGACCGTGAAATAATAAGAGCGCCTTCACCCTCCTTCCACCTCCCTCCCTTCTCTCTTTCCCTCCCTCCAGTGAAACACGATAGACAGACAGACAGATAGACATATAGATAGATAGACAGACAGATAGATAGATAGATAGACAGACAGATAGATAGATAGACATATAGATAGATAGATAGATAGATAGATAGATAGATAGATAGATAGACATATAGATAGATAGATAGATAGATAGACAGACAGATAGATAGATAGATAGACAGACAGATAGATAGATAGATAGATAGACATATAGATAGATAGATAGATAGATAGATAGATAGATAGATAGACATATAGATAGATAGATAGATAGATAGATAGATAGATAGATAGATAGACATATAGATAGATAGATAGATAGATAGATAGACAGATAGATAGATAGATAGATAGATAGATAGATAGATAGATAGATAGATAGATAGACATATAGACAGATAGATAGACAGACAGATAGATAGATAGATAGATAGATAGATAGATAGATAGATAGATAGATAGACAGATAGATAGATAGATAGACATATAGACAGATAGATAGACAGACAGATAGATAGATAGATAGACATATAGACAGATAGATAGATAGATAGATAGATAGATAATAAGATAGTGTTGGTTGTGCACAATTTAGCGTTGCCTAATTTCCGCTGCATTATTCGCTGTAAAGTTCACTTATATGGCACTTAGTCACAAGTCTGACAATAAATGTGGCCCTAGTGTGCATTTTTTGGAAAGTACATCATTACTTCATCATTAAACCCTCTCATCTACGTGTGTGCTGCTATGATCCAGATATTTTCACACGGTGTTGTCAAAGCTCAGCCAGCTTTCCACCACTCTATAAATGGGACTTTATTTTAATCATTCTGGCCAGCAATTTGAAGATTCAGTGCGAGCACACAACACCAAGAAGTAGATCCAACACTGTATGTTGGCCGACGTAGCTGGGCGTTTAGGTCTCGGGTTCCCTATAAAGTCTTAATGAGTTCATCAATGCCGCCCCCCCTCCAAAACAACCATACAAACACTGTCTAGAGTTTTTGTTGCATTCACAGAGCAGGAGGGTCCGAGATTATAATATAGTACTGTACACTATGAAGAAAAAGGTTTATTGAGTTCTTTATTAGCAGAAAGTTGCTGTTAAATGTTCAAACGTGGCTGATTTCATACGGAGGCGCGCTGCTGGATTGTTCCACTTTGTGATTTACAAGAAATACTAATAATAAACCACGTTTGCAAAGGCTGCTCCGATAATGAAACAACAGCCCCCCCCCCCCCTTGAGATTACATCTGCTGAGCTCGTGCTCTCTTCTGGAAACCTAATCAACATAATAACTCCGTTTTTTATTAATGAACGAGAGGATAAGGTTACACATATCCCCTCTCGGGCTGCGGCGCTGTCTGTTCGCAGGATAACCGGACTTGATCGAGCTACTTTAAGAACCCCCCTCCTCCTCATCCCTCCCCCCAACACACACACACTCACACACACACACACACACACACACACACACCTCTGTCTTTTTCTCAAGCAGCATCAAACAAAGCCAAAGTGCTTCAAACTATTTATCGAGAAACAAACAGACACATACCTTTTACTGCCCAGTCGTAAAACAGACCATTCAACAGGACAGCAGTGTCATCTGGGATGTTTCGGACAACTCCCTGAGTAATTTACTTAAGCGAGATTCTCCTCTCTGTGCTCTCCCGACAAGCTTCAGGATATCTCTTCAGCTTTGAAGCAAATAGATTAAATTATTGATGGTGGAAATTGCATGGATGAGGTAATGCACTCCCATGGCTGCACGGCTCCTTTGGAGATCGTCTGAAACTGAAGTTGTCGCATGCTGAAACGCCGCAGCAGCAGCACCACGGGATGAGAGACCTCTGGAGCTGAAATGAGGAGCCTCTTTGCAACTACAGTAACTTTACTACACAATGACGCTGCAACATGTGACCTGCCGCTGGCTGACTGGTCGCCGCCAAACTCCTGTTTAAACAGCCCCCAGGCGGAACTATTAATGCGCTGTCAGCGTGCATTATGTGCTTTTGTTTGTCCGCATACCGTGCAGCCTGCATCCAACCCCTAATGTCTGGCAAGATGTAAAGCCCGAGCGAAGACTCTCCTCTTCCGTATTTCGCTCACCGAGACCAAAGAGGTAGCATATTTTGTGAAGGTTTTTGCGTAACAGCGCGTCTCCACAAGGTCGTGATACTTCCATTTAGAGTTGGCCTCTTTGTGTAAAATTAGATATTCAGAGAATTAGAAATCAGCGTTTCTTTTACTGGTCTGCGGGTTGTGAGGAGGATATGCACTTTGTATCAAAATACGCTGTAGGAAAGAAGGTATTTGAGTGTAAAGTATATATTTGTGAAGGTTTGTCCTCACTATCTAATCCATTTTAGGCATCCTGATCAAACATCCTTGATATAGCCCAAGAAGATTCTCTCACTCTACTCAAATAATGTCCTCTACGTGTGTGTCGTAACCTGAGTCATTTATATAATAAATAAGGCCATGAAAAAATCAGAGAAGTCTCATAATTTCAGTGCTGTATGGTGTTAAAACATTTGGATGGCAACAGGCACTGGAGGCTAACAAAGATGTGAACTTACTGAAAACAATTCTGCTTCTTCTTGCTTTTAAAGTGAGCCATCTCCACAACAGATGGATGACTCCCCTGCAAGTGCTCTGCAGTGTATTAACCAGCTTTCACAGGTTATTATAACCAAATGTCAGCAAACACGTTTAAATATAATATATAGGCCTACACAGAGCTCACTCGGAAGATGAAACTGCTTTGCTTCTTGACGCGCTTGTTTCCCCTCGACAGGAACAAACTGGGAACAATTCATTCCCCTTTATAATGCAGAATTCAAATAAAAATGTCAGTGGAGCCACAACCTTTCAATGGGCGATGAACATTTGGAAACTCCACCTCTGATGAATACAAGAGTGAGCATAATGGGGAAATAGCAGCTCATTATCCCTGTGACTTGGCCCAGGTCCAGTGCAAAGATTTATTGTGATGTGTTTGCTATATTGCCATCATGATTCTTCCCTGCACGAGCTTATGAGCTGGAGAGCTCTTGTTTGGCATGTAGCAGTATGGGAGTGGATGCTCACACCTGCTTAATGAGTCACTCCCACCTCCAACACACCCGGGACATGCCAAGATAGATATAGCCCTCCCCGAAGGCTCACAGGAGGTGAGGGCAAACTCTGGATGACAAAGAGTTGCATCAGCAATCACTGAGCGACATGACTCCAAAGAGGATAAAAAAAAAAGCACACTGCACAAGGGGGCTGTTCCAAACAAGTAATTCATAAATAAATCACTTGGCATCTCATTAGAAGAGCAAAAACAACAACATGGTCTTTCATTTCTGCTAATACAACACAACTGAAGGTGACGTTTCAAGAGAAGTCTTTTGGCTTGCATGGGGGGACTGAATTTCTGAATGAAATCAATAATGTGTCTAAAAGCTGGAAGCAAAAAGGAGTTTAGGATGTTTTTGACTCATTCGACTGAGGATCAAACAAAAGTATGACAGCGGTGGCCTCTTATAAGGCAACCAGCGGACATTCTGAAAACTGCTTAACCACTATTTCATCAGAACTGAGGCGTGAGATTTCTTTAGGTTTAGGATTTCTCAATAGAGGACCACGAACAATGATTCAAACCACATTATGTGGCTAATTTCTACAGGTTTTAATCCACCATTCATGGCCAAATACACGTGATTTGCAGGAACAGTTGGTTATGTCTCTCCTCACATCTTCCCCACTCACAACTTTTCGCCTGTTTGTGCAGCAGAAAGAAGATACAACCACAGGAGCTGACAACACGACACACTTGTATAACCTTTCAAGGCTTCTCTTGCCAAATGCAGCACGATGCTGACAGGTCCGCACTGCCGAAAGCTTCACTTAACAAGTAGAATTATGCCTCCTTGTGCCAGAAAGGAACCGTGTAACATGGACAAAATTACATTTTGTGAAATGTCATTTCTAATCACACGCTGGAGTGATGAGTTAATGTCATACCCCCTGTGATGACAATAACCTTTATTGTAATCATCAGGCTGAAACAGAGGACTAGTCTCCTAAGCTTCATATACACTCCAACCTCCACATCCTGACGCAGCTGATACATTATTTCTGTTGTGGCACAGACTGCAAATCTCTCCATCGCCTATTAAGTCTCTGTCTGTCTCTGTCTGTCTGTCTCTTTTCTTGGCTTATGCCTTCCTCCTCCTCCTCCTCCTCCTCCTCTCCCCCACCCTCAATCCAATATCACCACAGCATCAATAACCTTTGCATGGTTTACTGCTGAATGAAAACACACAAAATTACTTGGAAATGCTGAAATATTTGTTATGATAACTCGGAAAGCAGGCATTTTTCATTTGCTACTCAAATGAGGCTGTAAGGAAACTACATGAATGTCTCCTGCTTGATTTAACATGACATATCCTGCCACTGTATGCAAAAATATACATCTTCTAACAAATAAGGGACAGCAATTTGATTGTTTTTCTTTTTTCTTTAAAAATGCATACATATATAAATATATATATACCTATATATATATATATATTTTTATATATATATATATATATATTTGAATTCTAATTGAAGTTGCTTGAATTCAGTGCTGCATGAGAGACACACTTGAATGGTTTGCCGGCATGATCGAACATTTACACACACACACACACACACACACACACACACACACACGCGCACAGCATCATGAATCCTTGTAGTCCCGCAGTGGTCCGACGTATCAGATGTCTTTACAGTCAGAATAACTACATCCACCGTGTATTTATAACTTATCGTGGGCTCCATCGCTGTAAAATTACAATCACGCCACTGTGACGATAATTAAAGGTTCGGAATTAAAGGTTCAAGCCTTCGCCTCCTGCCATAACTTGCTTAAACAAGCCTGCTAATTGGACGAAGGTGTTGGTGATGAAGATGATGATGGTGGTGATGGTGACTAAAGCATTAGCAGCAGCGACGGCGGTGGCGGCGGCGGGCGATGAAGCCTACATTTCTATTATGATTAAGATGATACATTTTTTGGTCGAACTACATCGTGACGTAAAGCCGTGAGTCAAAATTTCCGCCATTATCGCCCGAAATAATCGATATAGCCTACTTGTAATAACATCAGACACCAGCTTGGATAAATAGACAAGTTATTGCATTTCATGAATGAATGTGGCAAAGTGTGGCAAGCACAATCCGAAATCGAGTTTTATTAAAGAGACACGCCTGTTATTAATATTAAAAAAAACCTGAACGTCCTTAATTGAAACAACTGATTTCGCCAAATCCCTTTAGCTCCCAAAGTATACGAATTGATCGCAACGGATAAAAAACGACACACAAAGGCCAACATTAAGGCTACATTATGAAAAAAAGCAACAAACACAGTATGAAGAAATCTAGTACAATATTAGTGTTAATCATTATTTCTACATAATGCATTTATTGTTATTTCTTTCGTTAAATAAATTGGCCTACCGAAATAATTTCAACTGATTTTTTTTGCAATGAAACCTACCATCAGGTTTGTTATTGACGCCCACCCCAACTCTGCAGAGCTGAGAGTGCAAAGAGAGCGAGAGAGAGAGAGAGAGAGAGAAAGAGAGAGGGAGAGGGGAGATTCTCGGTTAAGATAACACACGCGGAGACGCACGCACACGGTGGCGAGCGCACGCAGGCGCACGCCCGCACACAAACACACGCAGCCCCATTTATGGACTGATCCGCTGACGTACATTGCAGAAAAGTGCTATAAAAAAACCTTCATACATACAAAGTGTGTCGTGCCACCCCACAGACCCCTCCTAACCCGCCTCCGCTCATCCCTCCTCCTCCACCCAACACGCCCACGCCCACACCATAATCCCACGTCTCAGTAGAAAAAAAAAAATATTAAAAATACTGCTACATGGCCAGAAAATAGGTATTCTGCGAAAGAAAGATCATATTTATAAATAAAAAGCACCCGAAAAAGATGCTGCAATAAAAATAATATAACTCTCTTGTGGCTTCTGAATAAAAGGCCAAATGTTTATTTAAAGCATTACAATTGTTACTGATTTTATAAAGACTAAAACGCGTATCGTTTCGTTAGATAAATTATTGATTGATCATTATTTGTGTATTAAACGTTGTTGTGGTACTGATGAGCCTGAAACGTGGCTATTATAGTTGCGACGCAGCCTTTATTAAATAAGCACTTTTATGAATGTCGGGCAGTATAATAAGTAATATGATCTATTTTGGTTTCACTGTCATATGAAATGAGGAGTAATAGGCTATAATATGCAGAGACCGATCTGCGCGCATTACGTTTGTGGGTAAAAATGACCGAAAACGTCAGCGGATAGTCCATCAATTCAAATACAATTAGGAATATACTGGATACTTTCGTTTTGAAGTATTTATTTGAAAATGCAGCCTGCAAGAGGAGTCTTGATTAAAACAGGACTGCCAGTGGGCGTTGGGGATTTTCTCTTCTCTTGCAGTTGTTTTGCCGTCATGCAATTGCTTCGTCTTGGATCAGAAATCTTAAATCGTTGACCAGAGGAAAAAAAGAAGACGAGCGAGAGAAAGAGAGAGGGGGGGAGAGAAGGCGAGAGAGGAAATAGACAATATCCACCGTTTCTGCATCGGTGCGAGACGAATTTTGAGGCTACAAGTCCTTCAGGAGAGCAGAGAAATAAAATCCCAGAGCAGTTTTGTGTGATGATCATCTAAATCTAACAGCCACGCGTGACAGATTGAACGCGTGCCTAAATTTGGAATAAAAAAGAAAGAGAAAGAAAACTCGATGCCTCCCGAACAATTGCATATCAAGCCATCTTATCTCTCTGCATCGCATTCAGCCATAACATCTGTCAGTGGATGCACTTTGACCACGCCCATCTTTATTGTAATTTCACAGAGGAAATAATAGAACAATTTGTATACTGTAAAGGAGACTCGCTCTGGCAAAACCGAATTACACGAGTCAAAGCGATTAAGAATGAATTCATTTTATTTTCCATTATTCATTCGTAGCCTGCGCTTGACAGGTCAACACAGAGCCGTGTATGGACAAAAGAGGGGGGTAGGGTAGCAGGTGAAGTGAAAAGCACCTTATGAATGAAACCGTGGAGCAGTCGTAGTAAAAACACAAGTGATTTGATGGCGATGACGGGA